TACTGCAACAGGAAATGTTTTTTATGTGTAATTGAATCTATTAGTGTAGTTGATAATACCACAGACCATGATAGAATGATAAACCTGTACAGTGTCGTTGTATCTGGGACCTCCACAATACTGACATGAGGGGCTAGCTTATAACAAACTTCATGTGACCTGTGAAGGTTCAGGTTAGAACTGGTCTTCAGCAACCCAAGCTTGTTGTAAGAGGTGACTAATGGGATCGGGAGGTCGGCTTGCTTGCTTGGTTGACACATGTAATCATATCCCATTTGCGTAGATTGATCTTCATGCTGTTGATCACTGGATTGTCTGGCTCAGACTCGATTATTACAGCCTGTTGTCATATAGCTGGTTTATTGCTGAGTGTTGCGTTAAACAGAAAAACAAACAAACCAAATTTCATGTATTCTAGCAAAGATTACTATTCTTGCACGTTGATAAAACATGTTCAAAAGTCGGACAAGAAGCTATTTTTGCAAAAAGGTCTAGGGAAGGAATTTTAATGGTGGATGAAAGAAACAGACAATTATGTTGGTGGATGAAAGAAATAGACATTTTCTGACTTCCAGATTATTACTGCTACTAATTAATAAAAGTCACACTTACAGATCAGACCATTACAGAGGAACAATGGCAAAAGATAGAGATTATTATACAATGTACTGTCCTTCACAAAAATAGATCATGAAGGACGATGGGACGACCTATGTTTTATACACTACATTTATACAATCCGGGTGTGAAATTTTTTGTATTCTAGTTCCAATGGTTTAATATCATGACGGGACAGTCAAAACAAGTCTGTGGTGTCGAGATAAACTTACAATTTGATAAATGTTTCAACAATGATGTAATGGGCAAGACACACATGGAAAATTAGAACCATGTGAATATACTTAATGCACTGTATGCTTCTCAAAAGAGATTTCGGCTTTAGGAAACAGTTTGTTCATGCTTTCGTTTTATGCCATAATTTGTTCAAGAATCTTAATTTCAGTATTACCTCTTTTACTGGTTTTGTAAATAATTATTGAAGATTATGTGGCATTACAAATTATTTTCTCCAAAGAACATTTATGGTGCTCAGAACATAGATTTTTTTAAAGTAAAATTAGCTGTATTGCAACAATGTTCTACAATCATGAAATCAGTACTAAATTAATTTTTTTTGTTGGTACATAGTACGATCCTGTGTCCTATTTTATAATACTTGTACTTGTATAATACTTAATCAAGTCTTGGCCAGACAATCCATGGATCAACAGCATGAGCATTGATCTACGCAATATGAATACGATGACGTGTGTCAACCAAGTCAGTGAGCCTGACCACTCGATTCCGTTAGTCATCTTTAAAACAAGCATGGTTACTGAAGACCAATTCTAACCCGGATCTTCACAGGTGTATTTGAATTGTTCTTGAAGGGAACTGCTTTGAAGTGGCTGTCATTGTTGACATTTTAAACTATCAACTCCATACCACGATGAGCTACAGTGCCTGAGCACTGGATTCCTATGTTGATATTAATCTTTAATGGTCTACTTTAAGATGCCATGCCATGTAATACTTGTTTTTCCAAACTGGAATGTCATTAAACCTGAAAGTACATATTTTATATCTTTCTTATGGAGATAGCAAGGCAAAAGAGTTTCTTATGAAAAGCATCCTGCAGTAAACATGTTTTTTACAAACTGGCAGCGGTGTTGTTTAACAGCACATGCTTGCAAGTTTCTCCAGAAGATTGGAGTTTCTAATTTGAAGTTATCAGTTTGTGTTCTCTCAGAGAGCCGATGATGATTTTGGACTGAAAACCCCCAGGCCATTTATATATTGCTCTATATTTCCTTAGACATATCCTCAAAACTCGTAAACCAAAACATTTAGATTATTCATTATGTTAGCTTAAAGCAAGGCACTTAAAGGTTTTAACTTTCTTAATCTGGTTTCAACTTTTAAAATCTGGTTTCAACATTTCTCATCCTCCTCGTTCATGGTTCTTGGGTCACAAATCATGTGTCTATGATAATGACAGCAGAACCAGTTACTTTTCTCAAGATAAAGACTGTTACTTTTTGCATACCAGTTTTCATGGGTTTTTTTGTTTTGTTTTTAAATATTTTTATTTCCCAGAGTACATTTGTTGTTGTAGTACAAAAGCATCATACACAACACATCCTCGTCATCAAACATTGTGCAAACATCACCATCAATACAATCAGTCAATACATCAATACAGAAACATCATCGTATGTTCAGGGTGAATTTGCTATAATGTATCTGTTATCCTTGCCCATGGCTAATGTGTATACCAGTACTTGTATTCAGATGCACTTATCAAATTTTATTATACTTATATAACATCTAGATTGGTATAATTAGCAAAAAGTGTATGGAAGGAAGACCAGAAGGCATAAAATTTTGCTGGGTTTGCATTAGAAAATGCTGTATATTTGGTAGCTTTATAGTAGTTGAGTATTTCCCTTTGAAACACTCTAAAATCTGGCTTTATATTGTTTCGGCTTGTTTTATATAGCATGTATTTCACTATTAGAAACACCAGATTAAGTGGGTTATTGTTTTTACCTTTGAAACCAAAGATAATATTTTCGTGTGACAAATCAATATTTCCTTCAGACAGTATATCCAGCCAATCGGATACCTCCTTCCATACTTTCACGGTATATCGACATTCACACAATAAATGAATAATTGTTTCAGGAGCAGATTCACAGAATGTGCACATTGAAGAGTCTGTGTAATTCATCAAATGTAACTTATGTTTAGTCGTTAAAATATTGTGAGTAATCTTGAAATGAAACCATCTTAATTGTACACTTTCTGTACATCTATTTGCCATTAAATATATGTTAGACCAGTCTTCTTTGTTATATTGTTTGTTGAGGATGTGTTCCCACTTTTTTTTGGCTTGTTGGTCCACTTTCAACTAGAGGTAAAAGTACGTTATAAAAGGATTTACTCCTTTGGTTTTGTCCGCAGATGCAAGATATATTAAACGGTAATGTTGGGTATTTAACCTGATAGGTCCAAGCTGTATCGGGTATTTTTCTGAGTCTGCAATATGCTAAGACAGTACACTTTATACCTTCTAGATGGAGGAAGTTTATGTTTGCAATTCCATATTTTTTTTCTATATCAACTTTATGTAAGAAGTTTCCATTCTGATCTAAGATATCACATACTAACATTATTCCTTTTTTTGCCATATTTTCATAGTAGATTGACTTTCCCTCTATTTTAATGTTATTATTAAACCATAGAGACTGGTTCAAAATATCTGATATTTCTTGCACATTTGTGTAACACCTTTTTAAGTAGTGGCACCATGCCATTAACACATCACTCCAGAAATGATTTGTGATGGGGGATAATATTATTGCACACATATTGTGCATCAGCATACCATAATTTATTTGCATTGTCTAGGATTTCATTTGCAATAGATGTACATTTTGAACTGTTGAGCAACAACCGTTTAATCCACATTATTTTTTTAGCAATTATAGTAGTTCTTACAATGGGTACACTTATTCCTCCATCCTTTGGTTTAAGATACATAATTTCTCGCTTTACCTTATCTATTTTCCCTTGCCAAACAAAATTAAAACACTTTTTTTGAAACTTTTGTAATGTGTCTTCAGATGGACTCGGGATGGATGCAAATAAATGGTTTAACTTTGGTAAAAGCAAGGATTTTAGAATAACATTTTTGCCCATTGGTGTCAAATATCTCAGAGACCAAATATTCATTTCTTGGTAGATTTTTTCAAATTTATCATTATAATTTAGGTCTACAATGTTATTTAATTCAACATCAAAAACTATTCCTAAAAGTTGATTGTGTCCAATCCAGATTCCATTCCTTGCACATCTTATACCTAGATCTTTTTTTTGACCCTATCCATATTAGCCTGGTTTTTTCTGCGTTAACTTTTAACCCTGAAAATCTTGCAAAGAAGGCAAATGATTAATCTTAGTACTTGAATAATGTTTGGTAATTTAGATTATTTTCTCATTATCATTATTTTTTTAAAAATATCTTTTGGTTTGCATCATTTTCCCACTTATAACAAACTTCGCTGTGTTCTATTGAAGTGTGATATATTACCAAGAACAGCAGATGACAGGCCCATAATACGCAGAGAGGAAAATAACAGGACTAATATGTGTCTGCCAGTGAACTCTGTTCTCATGCTATTTACAGTTTGATTAACGCCTTCCGTGTTGTACTAGTAGACTAGAATACCCTGTTTGTAGTTTAGGGGAATATATGTCCTCCATGAGAATTTGGGATCATGATCACATTTTTAAAATCATTGTTATATATTGGGATTGTACAATAGCATATATAAAATAAAACATAATTCACTAGATGTTAAATTTTTTCAGCAAAGATGACTGTATAAATGGATGAACATCTGCTGTTTAAGAACACATACCTGGTTAACTGGTTGTTAGATATGAATACATTGTATATTTATAGTTCACACTAAATATATGCACTGGATAATATGAAATTAGTTGTGTGATTTACAACTACATGTATATGAAACCTTGGTCTCCCATTCAGATTAGTTACCATGGTGACCACCCGTTCTGATCAGGTGACTAATAGATTAAACAATGTAATATGTTATTCTTTCATGATGAAAAGGCTGTATTGTCTTTTGAGTTTTAGACATAATTTACAGTCACCTGTTTTGACTATGATACATGGTTAAGATATTGAAAAACTCGAAATTGTAGCCTCCGAGCTGAAGAATATCTTGCCATTCCTTACAAATTTGATGTAAAAAATTAACATAACGGGTATCCGGGGAAGGGTACTGTAATAGGGGGTGGGGTACCCAGGTGGAAAATTTGGACCCGTCCCAGCCCTATCTGCCTGCAGCTTTCTTTTCAAAATCCATTGCCTGGGACATTTGTTTGTTTGTAAGCCTTATACATTCCAGACACGTGCCTACGATAATTCCACCTCAGTCAGTAAACGTGACCAGGTATGCTGGGTATGCTTGTACATCACTGAATATCACAAATATTTCTGGTTTGCTGACATTGTTGACCACACAGTCGAAGGTATCATGAGGTGTTTTGGGATCCCTAGGGGGAGGGTGCTTCATCCCTGGATTCCCCGCGGTAAACTCCCCAGTGAGCACTCGAGCCTGGTACATCCGCTTGTGTCCCTGCTGATCCTTCTTTGAGTAAGTGTCTTGGGCCGAGTAACTCGAGTTGAGAGCGAAGTATACGCCCTCACCATACATCACGGCTGAAAGAATATAGGAGACTGTAGCAAGTCGTTCATGTGCACAAGCATCTAAAGAAAACCATTAGTCCGACATCACTTGTTAGTTCTACACAAAACACTGTTCTTGTTCCTGGATTTGTGAATCCGTTGGCTACCTGACAGGGCAGTCTGTAGCTCACCTACATATTTATTACTGTTTTTGCAAAATATGATCTTGAAGATGTACAAGGATTTATACACTAATACAACAAAGCTAACTGTATATAAATGTTTATAATTTTCAAAATGGCATCCTAAATGGTATATCATATATTTAATGCTTTGGCCAAACCAATTTTATTTCTTGTTTTACAGAATTTTGTCCTCAGAAAATCTTAAAGCCGGAGGGAAAAAAATATAAAAATAAAAGCACAAGTCAAAGCAAAAACCCACGTAAGTTCCATGTTAACTCTTTTGGTTTGTTTATATCAACTAAAATAAGTTGTGTGAGTTTAGGTTTCACTTACATCACACAAACATTAGGATTTTATTTTTTAAGTAGGGAAAATTAATTATTATTTTTTTCTTATTCTTGAAAAAATACATCCGACGGATCCATAAAACAAGAAATAAAATTGGTCTGGCCTTATCATATTTCATAATGCTACAGTAAAGAATGGCTGAAAGAGGGCCAAAATAGGAAAATGACATTTTTCAATATGGCGGACAGGGCAGACATGTTTTATAATCAGGATAAAAGGCTTTAGGCAAATTATAATGAGGCAATTGCTTGTATTATTTCAAAGCTTTTAATTTTGTGGAGGTGAGAAAATCTCTGATGGGTAAATAGCATCCAAGGACAGATATGTTTACAACGTGCAGCACATTGAAAATTGCAACTTCCTTTTGAAGTTATTATTGTGTGTGTAGCCTTACCATTCTTGCCGCAGTAGTTGCGGTTGAATCCATTAATGTTGATGCTGATGGTGGCATCCTCACTGGTGCCGTGCCACAACATCCTCTCACTCTGCTGACCAGGTCTCTTTGTTTCGATCGACTGTTTCTCCACCATGTATTGTATGTGTTTGTGTTGGTTCTGTATCCGCTCAATCTGAAACATTACATAATCTGATAAACTCATCTTCCATTTTGCTCAAATCCCTATTACTTTTAGTTTATGTCTGTTTTCTTTGATGTACAGATCCATCAGTCTTTTGGGGTTACTGCTTCTTTTTTCTGTTGATGAGAAAAAAAACACACTTGAAAATCGTTTAGGATTTATTTGTTTGAATGTTGTTAAACATGATGCTAATATTGTAATATACCTTTCGGTGAAAATCTGGAGATTACAAGCCAGTTGGTTATATTTAACAATTTAACAACAGATGCAGCCCATACTCTCGTCAGGTCTTTCGTTCTATCTAGACTGGACTATTCAAACAGCATTCTGTTTGGACTCAGCTCTGCACACTTGACAAAAGTCCAGAAAATCCAAAACGTAGCAGCCCACATCGTATCCTTAACATCTAAAAGATCTCATATAACCCCTGTCCTAACGTCTCTTCACTGGTTGCCCATCCAAGCCAGAATCGAATTCAAGACCTTGACCATTGTGTTCAAATGTCTACATGACCTAGCACCTCAGTACCTCTCTGAATTCATCTTAGTGTACACACCACCACGACAGCTGAGATCACACCAACAGTTCCTCCTAACAACACCCCCTGTCCATCTCAAGAACTATGGTCACAGATCATTCAGCTATGCTGCTTCTTCACTGTGGAACAGTCTTCCCATAACCATCAAAACAGCAACCTCCCTTGACTCATTCAAATCTTCATTGAAGACACATCTTTTCAGGAAATATTACGTGTGACTTGTACAAATGCTGCAGTTTCTAGCTGTACACACGGGGCTCCATGAGCATACACTAGTGTATGGATACAGCGCCATACAAATGGACAATTATTATGAATTATCATTATTAACGGTACTGTATCAGCATCGCTGCTTGGGTCAGTTGGGATATGATGATGTGCATCAACAAGCCTTACCACCCGATCCGTTACTTACCTGTTACTTACCTATTTCGTCACTCAGGGCTTGTTGGAAACCTGGATCTTCATGTATCTACAGTATACAACCTGTACGAGGGTTGGTGGGTTGTCTTTAGTGACTGAAATATCTGCACTTTACATTACAGGCCCTGGTTACATTCCCCTAAGAATATGTGTGAAGCCCACCTTGTGTCCACCATACTGTGATTTTGATGTGGCTTAAAACCATACTCACTTACTCACTCACTCACTCTGTAAAGTCTATTATTGTATTCTCTTGCCAAGATATGCTTGATCATTCATTTTATTTTGTACTCACAGACACGATGGTATGTGGTCCCATCGACTGACCGAAGTGAGTCGCCACATCGTAATATTCCTGGCTTCCCGGCTTGACCGGGATCACCTCGAAGTAGCTGTCCGGTGCCATGGGAGTCCACTCAGGAGGGGGGCAGCAGGTTCTCTTAAATCACAGGAAACATGGGATGTTTTTCAAATCATACCACAATGTTTGCCTGTTTCAGAGGCATTCCAGATTTATCATAAAGTCACAAGTATGGCCACCAGAAGGTGCAGGGGACCAATTTCAAGAAGTGAGTGAGTGAGTTTTGTTTTATGCCCCTTTTGGCAGTATTCCAGCAATATCACGGCGGGGGTCACCAGAAATGGGCTTCACTCATTGTACCCATTGGGGAATCGAACCTGGCGTGATGAGCAAAGAATTTAACCTCAATGCTACCCCACTGCCCCAAATTTCAAGAAGGGGTCAATGTGTGGGACCATTAATATGATGTTGAAAGGTTTCACACATTGCAGCCCACTGCTCCAAGTTTCAGGAACCCAGATAACAAAGGTTTCTTCGGCCAATATTGGTATATTATGGTTGGTCGGCTGGCCTACAGTTTGACAACATTGGCCCAACGTTATCTTAATGACTTAAAAGTAACGGTGGCTTTGGACACATTGGTCAAACAGTAGGCCAACATTTCAAAACTCTGCCTAATTTCCCTGACTTTATATCTATTTCACACAATTGGCACAATGTTGAGAATAAAAGAGTTTTCCCTCCCATTGCCAGTGAGCATATGGCCATGTTTAGCAATGTTTTTCAACTATGATGAGGTGAATTTTACAGTGCTTTTGCTTGAAATTGAATACCAAACTTGTCATCATTGATAGCTTCACCTGATATTCAAAGAGCAGACGACACTACATTTCTGGAGGCCTTCAACTGGTAAATATGCATTGTTAGTTCTGTGATGCTGCATTGTGGATATATTGTGAAATAATTAGTTTAAATCATCATTTAAGTTAAAGAAACTGACGCATACTGTATTTAAAGGCAATTGATTGAGCAGATAAAAAATTTAATTGACTTTTTTCTTTAGGTAGCCTGAACCCCATTGATAAATCTTATAATTTCATTTTAAATCATTTTAATTCAATGTGTTTACTTTATTTACATTATGTTACACTCCTGTTTCCATATACAACTCTCCTTATTTTTCATCTTTACACCCAATAATTGCTAAGCATCATTATGTATACCAGAAATATGTGTCACAGCCAACATCATGGGCCACCGAGGACCTGATGAGCATATCCAAATGGGCCCATCTTCAGTATAATGATGATGTTGATTTTAAGGGGCACCTATTTTGTTCTGGGGAGGGTGTGTGTGATCAGTTTTGTAAGATGTAACTTAAAAATTAAGCTTAAAAATTATGAGAAGGGAGGGGTGGTTATTGATCTTGTACATGACATGCAGAGCGGGGTTATTTAATTTGTACATAAAATTTGGGGGTGGGGGTGTCATACAGTCATTGTACATGCTTTTCCATAAAAATCATCTGATTAGATTTATCCTTCACACAATGGCCAACAACCTTTACGGTACAAGAATACAGCTGATATAACTGGATGACATTTTCATGAAAGTAACTTTAGACTCTGTCTTCAGATCATCATGATAAAAGGATTTTTGTTTCAAATGAATAGTTGTCTAGTCTTCTATTCTGGGCTTTCTTTCTACATACCTGTAATTGAGGATGTGGCTGTAGCAGGCTGACAGACAGCACTGCTGGCTCCCACCAGTGCCTGGAACATCACAAACAGCAGCATACACTTGTACTTGTAACTACGTAACAGACCTTGAGAAATTATTCATAAAGTTAAACAATTAAATACCATATTTTATTCAACGAGCAAATGTGTGGTACCAATACATTCTATTACTTTATTGGCAATCGATTTGTTGTAAATAGCTTCTGGAAATATGTACATGTTCGGGAGAGGCATTTATATAAGCCCATTGACTTATTTGTCAATCCCTTTTCTTTCTTTTGAAATAAAATATGTTTGAAACACTTGTAACCAACATGCTGTCAAAAACATAAGAATAGTTTTTCAAGAATAAGCAGCTTCTATTTTCCAAGTGGATATTTTATATAAAGTAAACTATATTTATAACAAAATTGCTCATAAAAAAGCTTATATATTTTTTGCTTGCTGTATATTTTAGTCAAAATGCATATAATAAACTAAAATTAGTCGTCACTTATAGCTGTAGTATACTGTACTTTCTTCCATGTAAACATCCAAAGACAATTCAATAAGTAAAACATCTGACAACAAATGGTCAGCTGAACAAAGTGCTATACATATCACTATCTTAAATGTTCTTTATTGAATTTTACAACTAAAATAACTGTTCAATACTTGAATGTCTTATTTCTGCTTAAAACAATAGTTAATGATAAAAAATTCCGATCAATGCAAATTTGTTTGAAGTTATTTATTGGGTGCTTTAAGCAAGGAGGAAACATGTACAGCTGATTTCTATTTCCTGCTTTGTAATGAGACAACCCACACTGTAATCTCAATCTCTGCATGTATAACAATGCCTAGCACAACAGGACATTGTTACATGTTGATTCCAAAGTTGACACTTAGGAATCAGTTGTGCACTATAGGACACATATAGAACCCCACTGTCCATCACTGTCTAGCCACCTATATTACACATATAGAACCCCACTGTCCATCACTGTCTAGCCCCTATATTACACATTTTTATTCACAAACTAACACTGTGACGCAAGAAGCTATCACTTAAAGGGCCACTGATCCAGAGCAATTTCCATGTACTGGTTGTTGCTTTTGTTATTGTTTTTCTCCCGTGAATACCCAGATGATATCCCAGAATTCATGACTGGTTCGTTACCTCTGAGGCGCCACCCTCATGTGCAATTGATTGTATAAATATAGACTGATCAACAAAGATGAAATCTTTTTTACTCGATAATATTTCCATCTTATGTCGATTTTGTTGTAAAATTATGTAGACTTTGATGAATAATTTGGTTTCTTATAAAAAGTATTCACTTTAAGAAAAATGCTGATAAAAACTTTGATTTCATAGTAATGTTGACTTTATAAAAATGTTAACGTAAATGGATGTAGAATTTGATTTAAGAAATAGTTTGACCATGAATTTGGTGAGAAGCCTGATACAATTGCATTGTTTTGAAAGTAAGGCTAACGAAGTACATGGGGAGTCTTGGGGAGAGTAGTGAGCTTGGGTTCACTTCTAGTCAATCTGAATGTTGTATTAAATGGCATTATTTTGATAACAAATGAAAACATTGTAAGTTTAACCATCTGCCAGTGGTCAAAAATGTTAGGACTGAAATAACGAAGTCAATGTACGTCTTTATATTTTGTCTTATAATTGTTACCTGAGGGTGTCTGGGTGATACCCTTCTCTCTAGGCAATCTGTCTATCTACTCTTGTTCCGGGGATGATGTAGCTGAGATGGATAGTCAAAGATAAGTCTGGGATGTTGTTCAAGTCCATTTATTTTGGAATTAGTTTATTATCATAGTTGTATGCATTTTGAAACTTAATAAATGCACACGATCTGATTACACTTAGTGAATTTATAACATGTCTGTAATATCTAGGCATCTTATAGATTGCCAACGTGAATCATATTTCACACAAAAAAAACTAATTCTGTTGAATGCCATAACAAAGATATAAAAACAAAATGCAAATATTGAAAGTAAAACAGACTAAAGTTATAGCAACGATATCAGGATATTACCTTGTTTGGGGAATGTATCCAACAATATCCACATAAAGGAATGAGATGCCATTCATCTGTAGCTGACAAAGAATCCTGTTCCAAGTCATGTGTCTTTTAACAATCTAATATGCGAAAAAGTGATCTATCGTTTCAGGTTTTTCACACTGGTGTTTAGTCCGATTGGTCACCCAAGATAGCGCACCTGGCAACTAATTGCATGACGTCTGCCATTCTTTAAAAAGTAATTCCGTTAGCCAATAATGAGCAATCAATCAATGAATTGGCGGTTAATCCTTTGAAGGAAGGACGTCGTTTTTACAAAGAGACTTTACGACAGGGTGTATTCAGTATAGATTAGTAAATCTACATACATAAACCCTACCTTTTGACAAATCTGCTGTGCAGGATAAATGCAATTAATCAATCAGCGTGTTATCGGTTAATCCTTTGATCGATGTTTGTTTTGATAATTCAGCTGATAATTCCTCTTGCTGCACTTCCATGCGCATATTACATAAGATGTAATACATTTGCCACATCAGACCTCAATTTATAATGATGGGTATTTACTTCAGACACAAGAAATGCCAAATGGGAACCTTTGTCGGTAATCAGAGTGGTGTTATCGCTAATTATACCTGTTATAAATTCATTTACTGACCATCAAGTGAATGATGACAAATAACATGTGTATGTTTACCACCAAACAAGGGTTACAGCCAGAGAGTAGTTATCACTCTATTGCACGCAAGTTTGATTGCCTGAAAATAAAACTTATGGGCGGACACTGTTTTGAGGATATGAACGGAACTTCATTGTTACATAAGAAATAAATATAAGCATTTGTTGTGTACTTAGTTAAAAACTGTATATACCTATGTACCTAAGTAAAATTTCAGATTTTTTTAGCAATGACAAAGTAGGGTTGTTTAGTTTATGGATTCAAATATATCAAATGTGTGTTTTTTATATCATAGCATCAAATATCGAGGTAAAAAACACAGAAATAGGATCAAATTGGATCAGTCACTATACCATCCAAGTATTTGAAAATCTGAAAAAGCCTACACTGCTGGGATACTTTATTACAATCAGATAAGAACTACCGGCGATATTTTCAAATAACGGCATCTGTTGGGCATTCACCCTTCCTAATGCCCCACTAATTAAATTGAAGAAATTCTGCCAAGGTAAACAGTAGCCCAGTCCCCGTGTCTGTCACGATCGAGGGAGCAGATAGTGATCAACCTGCAGCTTGGTTTCGTAATTAGACTGTTGGCTAGAAACATTAATCGCTCTGGATCAGTGGCCCTTTAAATGGTAGATCATTGTGTTTCGTGATGTCACACCTCAAATTTCAAGTTTTTAGTGACCAAGTTAGAAAATACCTGAATTTGCTGGAGGAATACAATGTAGTTTATTATCTGCATATACTGAATCCCCTGAACAACTGTTTCCTTGAGAGAAAAACCAGCACCTGACTTGAAGTGAACTTTTTGGCACTTTATACTTGCTTTTGGAATATTGAGATAGATCCAGAATTGTTACATCATAAAAGAAAGTGTTGCCTTCTTTATAGTGGTTACAAATTATGTCTATTCTCAAATCTTTGCAGCTGAGTACCATAACTGTCCTCAGTCACAAATTATCAGTGGTAGTTCAGCTTTGTTAAGTATATAGCATCATTGGTTTCTTAGCAACAGGAACGAGCAGTCATCATGTCACTTGGGTCCTTCAGCTTTATACTCTCACATTCAGCAAGTCCACTAGTATTTGTGCCAATAATTCGTCACTTCCGAGTTGATGATGTCATTTTGAATAAAGGGTCACGCTTCATTAAACTGTCAACTAGTACCTCCGCAGCGATCGGTACTAGTCATGGTCTTGGTTGGGGGAGTTAGTGTGAGAGTTCCACCTAGCTGTCAATAGTATTGCTTTAATGTAATACACTATTTAATACATCTGCTTCTAGTATTAACAGATGTTTGTAATGCTAAAATACATCTTAGTGTTACCTATGATCATGGATTATATTTGTGATTTTAGTCAGTCCCTTTCCTGATTTACCTCAAAACACATATTGTAATTACACCTCAACATAGTGTAGCCCACCTGTAATTACAACTCAACATCATGTAATGCCTCACCTGTATATTTAGCAGATCTGTAGGACTGACAACAATCCTGGTTTCAGCCAATGAACATGCTGGATTACGGGCACCAAAGTTACGTATAGCCTCAAATATCCATTTTGTGACAGATGCTGGAGGATATTTCAAAGCTCCAGTGCCAAGCATCGGAATGGCAATACTCGAGTGGATTCCCAGACATGCTGTCTTCAGACATAAGTGGATCACATTCCTGAATGCCTAAATCAGGGGAAACATCAATCATAGTTAGGGCTGGGACGATTCACCGAAGCACCGATACATCACGATACATATAAGTGTGATACAGCTATCATATCGTTGACTGGTGTATCGATACAAAATGATACACCACTATTTTTTCAAAACAGTATTATCTTAAACTTGTTAAACAAAGTACTTTTTTAGAGAAAAATATGCATTCATGATAGAGTTACTTGTTTGTTTATTACAGTAGTGTTATTGTTATACACAAATACCTTAAAATAAATCATTTTAAATCTTAATACTGTGTCATTCTTTCAAGGTGTATGTATTGTGATACACATCGTATCGCAGGTAAAATATCGCGATATGTATCGTATCGTGACATAGTGTGGTCTCAGCCCTAATTGTAGTGTCTTTGTGAAATCTTTAAAATCACATGTACTACTGAAAAATGTAAACAGATATCAAGCTTTAAGTGAAAGGGCTCTCCAAGCTCAGGTATTTGTTAAATAATTACATTTGTTCACAAAAAGTGAGTGATACCTATTTTTAGAGTCAATGACTGAGGATGCTTTTACGTCGCTTTTAGAAATATTCCAGCAATATCACGGCGGGGAAAACCAGAAATGGGCTTCACACATTGTACCCATGTGGGGAATCGAACCTTGATCTTCAGTGTAACGAGCGGACGCTCAACCATTAGGCTACCCTACTGCCCCTCTATATTTAGACAATATACATGTATAGCACCAGTGGCTTACAAGCAGAGCCGAGCAATATAACCGGTTTACCATTATTTACCAGTTCAGACATGAAAACGATACGTATTGCGATACACTGATCAAAAAACAGTATTTTGACATGTATTCGGAAAACTTCGTTACGCTCGGAAATCTTCGGATATTTCCATTTCTTAAATTGTTCGTTTTCTTGTTTTTATTAAATTTAGTCAAGCATAGTGATTTTGTTGTGTTTTTTCTTTATAAATCAAGCATGAACTTGATTATAAGTAGTTTTTGGTACATATCGCAATACATATCACAATTCTTTTGCATCGCAATATATCGCAATATGAAAATTCTCTGCAATACCCACCACTACTTACAAGAGACACTCCCACCTTGGTATTGACTAAAAATAGATATCAACTTCTTTTGCAGAACAAAAGGAGTTTCGGATCTGAAAGATAATTCCATGCTTGCAGTGTCGACAGAATGAGGCTATGCTATGAGAAGTTTTCCAACACACACACAAACATCCTACCTTTTCCACGTCTGCATCATCTGGTTTCCAATCGGTCAGTGTGATGTGAAAAATCTGCTTACAGGTCATCCTGCCTCCACTCGTCACGGCAACCTCTCCTGGCTTGATTCCATTGGGGTACTTCTGTCTGCACTCATCCTGGATTGTCTCCCCTGCTGCCTTCAATACAACCTTCGTCAGTGGGCCACTGGACAGCTTCAACTTTGGAGTGCAGGAGTTCACAAGCACATCTACCTGAAATTGGAGAACAAAGGTATGCATATGTTCTCTATAGAGAGTACTGGTGTGAGTGAAATCAGGGTTATTTCCCCTTGATCAGTTTATACATCATTTATTGTCAGGCAGAAAACTTTTCATATGATAGCTTTTATAGACAACTTTTTTATTATTAAATCATAATTCATGAAAGTCAAAATTCACAATGGTAGAACAATTATATTGCATCATGCCAAATGAGAAAACAAATGTACTTGTAGTTTTGAGTAAAGTGACCAAACAGCATCACGAAAAGTTTTCGGCCAGACTATATATATCCTTGTATCAGTGTGCTACTGGTTAAAATCATGGTTAAAATCAGCTCAAAGTCAAAATAGATTCCTGCTGTCAAAAGAAAATATTTAGTGAGTGCAAGGTGCACCCTTGAAGACAAGCCCATTTCTACTTCAGCTGCACCTGTATATATTATTAAGTAACACAGACGTGTCCATTTCAAAGATACTGTACTTGAGAACATGAATGATAACTCAATAAATTTGGTAATAATTTTGAAAATATGTTTGCGAGAAATATCTGCAAAATGCCAAACCATTAAGTGGCAAGCAAGATAAGTTCACAGGACAAACCTTTTGATCAACAACGTTGCCAATCACTAGGGTGATCTTCACAGACGACGCTTGCCCTGGAAAATAGTCCAAAATTTGTTAATAAATGTGATACTATCACATTATCTTTTCCCATACAGATTTACCTACCTTGAGTTTCCTCCAGCAATGACATTATGCACTATTCATTCCTCCCACCAATGACATACATGTTTTCTTGGAAACAGAAATATACTATTTCCCTCACACTTACCTATTGTTGTGGCAAGCAGCGAAGAGTAACACTACTATCCTTACACCTACCTATTGTCTTGGCTAGTGAAGGGGTCACTTTGAATGATCTGGCTGACTTGGCATTTTTTCGTTTGGCCAACTCGTTATCGAAAGCCTGGAAAAAATTACGAGCAACAAGTCTAACAGTAATAAAGGTATGGAATAATTTATATCAAAGGTTCAGGTTTTGGCTTCAGATAAGAAATCACTTTTGTGCCACTTAAGTTTTAGGTTTTAAGCATCAAAGTTGAAATTCCCCCAAATGTAACTAAGTAAGGACATGCATTCCACTGATTATACTTTCTCGAAAAAAGTACTGATTCTAGAACATTTGGGGGGTTGAGTCCCATTCAGAATTCGAACTCACACTGACAGAATCTGGTTAGAGACAAAGTCAGCAACTCTACCCACTCAGCCACTGTAACTTCAACAAAAGGGATTTCCACTAAATGGATTTTCAAGAAGGCCATAGTGGAGCTCATATTGAAAATGAAACTGGGAATCGGTGATCAAATTTTGATTATTTTTGACAAGATAATCTATTATAGTTACCATTAATCACCCTGCATCAGTATTTACTCACTAACTCATTTCATCTTTATACACACCTACACAGGCCTTTAACTGGCGTGCCAGGTGACCAACACATTCTGGCAATTTAAACTGGCACGGTTTCCATGGTTGAAAGTTAAGAATACACAATGTCTTTTAAAAAGTAGTCAAAAGCAACGTATGTTCCATGTTTGAATCCCAGATGAGACTTGACCTCATAAAGTACTACCATCAGTATTTAGTGAAAAGGTGTTTTCAGGTTGATGGTGGTCTGTAAATATTTGTGTCTGGACCAGACAATCTAGTGTTTGACAACATGAACATCTTGCTACTGGAATACAATCCCATGCATCAACCTAATCATCTGTGACCAGTTATGACAATCGTGGGTTGCTGAAGACAATTTCTAACACAGATATATCAACAGGTAGAATTAGAATTCATCTTCAGTAACCCATGCCTGTCATAGTCAGGCTCGCTGACTTGGTTGACACATGTCATCGTATCCCAACTGCGTAGATTGATCCTCATGCTGTTGTTCACTGGATTGTCTGGTCCAGACTCGATTATTAACAGACCATCGCCATATATAGTTTGAAATGCATGTGGACCTGTTTTTTTGTAAATATCTCTTCATCCAATGACCCAATCGATCTTAAACTGTGCAAGTGGATGTTTTGTCAGACAACCTAGAATGGGTCTGGCTCCCGCCCTCTGCACGCATTCTGCGTTCTGCTGTTTATTTTGTTGACAGTTACATAGACAGATTCTTTAATACAAATGCATGAAATCGGTGATTTACAATGTGATTAGGTTGTCTGACAAAACATCCACTTGCACAGTTTAAGATCGATTGGGTCATTGGATGAAGAGATATTTACAAAAAACCCGGTCCACATGCATTTCATGCCAAACTATAGCTGGAATATTGCTGAGTGCACTCACTCACTCACAGGTCACCTATAGTAAGTGGACTATGAGTGATTGTACCTGCTTGACTCCAGGGGAGCTAGCATGCATCACGAGGATGACCTTATTCAGTCCTTTGGACCTGAAGCTGAGACAGACGCTGTACATCAGCTCGGCCACACGCGCTGGGTCATACTTCAGCTTCCCTGTTCCAAGGGCCGGGAAACTGAGACTGGTCAGTCCGGCGTCGTCGGCCGTCTTCAGGCACTTTAATATAGTGCCCCTCAGCAGCTGGAACATCATCATGATGTGAGACAGGCATTCTGTGTTTAACACCGGGTGCTTGATACTAATACCACACTTAATAAGCCAGGTCTTCAACACCATACATAATGTACAGTGTGCCAAATAGTTTCCAAATTTTGATAGCCAGTCAGGCTAGAAATGCCTGAAAGTTACTAGCCCATAATAATTCACTAGCCCGAAATTCGAATGTAGAAGCTAAACAAAAGATGATGAGAATAAGATATTGTTGGCATGACACAGGTTTCATTATTAAGCTGCTAATATGATGAACATTTTTATCAGGCCATAATCTTGGCCTTAACATGTCGGAGAGAGTGATATATTTACAAAATGACCCCATGAAAATACACTAACTAGTCAGGCCAGTGACTAGAGATTTACTGGCAAAACTGGATCTTTACTGGCCACTGGCTAGCGGGCCATGTATCTAATGGTATAATACTAATCCGTATCCAGTCATTCCTTTGCTATTGGAATGATGTTTCAGCACTAACTGGGGCCTCCGAGTCAACCTTTAATGTATATTTGTTTTGTTGGTTGTTTAACGCAGCACTATATGGACGCTGTCGGTAACTTACTGAGTCTGGACCAGACAAACCAGTGATCAGCATCGATTTACCCCATTGGGATATTATGTGTCAACCAGGTCAGTGAGCCTGACCACCTGATCCTGTTAGTCGCCTCTTACGACAAGCATGGTTTGCTGAGGACTATTTTCAAATTTCTAATCTTCAAAGGTCTCAAACTTAAATGATCGAAACATTATTTAAATTCAAATATATTTTTAAGACAGGAATACTGCAGACATGCCAATCCTTCTGTAATAAAAGCATACCTTTTCAGTCCCTGGCTGATCACTACTCCAGCCATCTGTCAGCGTGATATGATACACCTGCTTGCAGGACAAATTACCTCCCCCTGTCACTGCTACTTCACCGGCCTTGACCCCTGAGGGATACTTTGTTTTACATTCATCCTGAAGGTCATCACCAGCTGCTTTCAGCATGACCTTGGACACTACCCCGTCTGCCAGATTCAGACCTGGGTTGGTTGTGTTGACGATCACATCAGTCTAAACACATAGAATCATCAACATTATTTTAGTTTTAAAAAAATGTTCATACAAATATATACTGAGTCAAAAAAGAATCTTCACAAAATGTAATTTGAAAAATAGTGAATAATTTTTCTCTGATGATACATCTATGTATCCGAAATGGGATCCCAATCTTTCGACTCTAGAACAACGTTAGCAAAACCCACTCAAACCCATCCATTCGTCGTGCAAATGCAGTCGATCACGTGATCTTCGCATCGAAGTTTTCTTCATATGCACGTGTTTGCATTGGCCTCAAGAATTGAAAAAACACTTTTAAACCACAGTTCTAACGGTACTTGAAATGCCACGATTGTCAAATGCGCAACGTGAACGTGCCGTTGGCATGTTGCAAGCGGGAAGATCAGTTATTGACGTCGCAAGAGCAATGGGATGCAGCCGTCGTACTGTGTATGACTTGCGAGGTCGTCTACAACAAACTGGCACCACTTCTGATCGCCCAAGGTCGGGTCGTCCACGTGTGACGTCACGAGCAGTGGACCGTCAAATCGTCCTACGTCACCTACGTGACAGATTTCTGCAGGCTACACGAACCAGGGCTGAGATGTTTAGAGGTCGACTGTCCTCACAGACCATTCGAAATCGGTTGCGGGCTGCCAATCTCCATTCTCGACGTCCATATCGTGGGCCAATATTGACGACGTTTCATCAACGTCAACGTCTGCTGTGGGCCCAACGTCACCTCCGATGGACCCAGAGTGACTGGACTCGAGTCGTCTTTAGCGATGAATCCAGGTTTACCCTCAGATTCGCGGACGGCAGGCATAGAGTCTGGAGACGACGTCGTGAACGGTATGCCCAATGTTGTGTACAGGAAGTCGACAGATTCGGGGGCGGAAGTTGCATGGTGTGGGGTGCTTTCTGTGGGAACAACCGTTCCCGACTTCTGGTCATTCGTGAAACCTCACAGCTGCTGCTTACCGCGACCAGGTGCTCACCCCTGAACTCGTTCCTTTCATGGCGGCTCATGGCCCAGGTCTACAGTTCCAGCATGATAATGCTCGGCTGCATACCGCGATGTTGACACGGAATTTCCTTCAAAACGCTGGAATCAACGTCATGGACTGGCCATCGAGGTCCCCTGACCTTAATCCAATAGAGCACGTTTGGGATGCACTTGGGAGAAGGCTTCGTGGTCTTAGGAACCAACCTCAGAATTTGCAGGAACTTGGCGCTGCGTTGCAAGAGCAATGGCGCAGAATCCCCAACCACGTGTTCACAAGCATCAGGCAGTCGATGAGGAGACGGTATTTGGCAGTGGTGAATGCGCGGGGCGGCCATACACGATATTGAACTGAGAAATTTCGCATTTTTATTCTTGTGACTTGACATTCTGTATACCCATGTTTTGGAATGGCGGTGTAGCCTAATGGAACTGATTATGGCACTGTCAGTGTATCGAGTACATCACACAGATCTCAGCAATGAAATAATAACAATTTAACCATCTTACCATCTCTTGTTCTTTTATAGTGCCCTGAAGAAAGAATGTGAAGTTTCTTTTTTGACTCAGTATATATACATGTAATATTTAAATTTATTACCTCTCAGTGTACAAAAAAGTCAAATTTAAGAACACAGAAAACCCAACTTTCACTGTTGGATGAAAATAACTAAATTCCTGGATATTATTAAAATCAAAATTACTTGTGGTTAAATGTCTCAAATCATCTCCAGGTTTGGGATAACATCTGACCAATGGAGTGGAAGTTTGGAACAAACATAAGCTTGTAGTGAGTGAGTGAGTTTAGTTTTACTCTGCACTCAGCAATATTCCAGCTACTAGTATATTGCAACAATCCAGGGGTCAACAGCATGAGCATAAATCTACACAAATTGGGATATGGTGACACGTGTCAACCAAGTCAGCAAGCCAGACTGCCTTTTATGACAAGCATGGGTTCCTGAAGATCAATTCTAACCCGGAACTTTACGGGTCCCGTCCCATGTAAACACGTCAGGAAAACATGTGCCAGCAAAGAACCTGCAGCTACCATAATGATAAAATAACTTCCAGATGAAGGATATCCCTTCTGGTTTGGGGAAAACACAGGTATAATGCAAGTCTACTTTAAACCAAAACATCTAAGGCTTCAAACAGTAGATAAGAAATATACATGTACACCCTGTTACAAGTGAGTGTGGTTTTACGCCGCTTTTAGCAATATTCCAGCAATATCACAGCAGGGGACACCACATATGTGTACTTCCACATTGTACTCATGTGGGGAATCGAACCAGGTCTTCCTCATTACAAGCGGTGTGATGAGTGAACCCTTTAACCTGTAGGCTAGCCCTACCCCCACCAGTGACCTCCCTTTAATGGCAGTATAGAATTTGCACACATAAGGCACGACAACAAATAAACGTTCAATCCTAAATAAAGTCATACATGATATGATCTCCATGGGATATCCAAAGACTCAGCAGTTTCAAAAGTGAAATTTCATATATCACAATCACCGACAACTGACATGAAAAGATTGTAATCACTTGTCATAGACTGACGTAGAGGAGATAGCTCACTGGTATATATATATTATATTACAGTACAACCAGAAATTATTGAGAATTTAAAGATTGTAATTTTTTATTATTTTTTCACTCATTATTTACGTATTAAATGTGAATATTAGCAGAACATAACTCCAGATTCAAAGACAGGTGAACAGTTAGTATTTTGTCAAGTCACCATGGGCAGAAATGCAGGCTTCAATGCGGCGGGGCATACTACTGATCAAAGAAGTTAGAAAGTCGTGGTCCATGCTGTCCCAATATCGGACCACCTCTTCTTTCATTTCAGCAATATTTGTCAGATTTTTCTTATTGACACTTTCCTTCATACGTCCCCAAACATTTTCTATTGGATTTAGGTCAGGTCTATAGCTTGGCCAATCTAATAATGTCAGATTTTGGGTCCGAAACCAGGCCTGTGAATGCTTTGAACGATGTTTTGGGTCGTTGTCCTCCTGGAAAATCCAAACATTTCCATAGAACACGTGAGCAGATGGAAGTAAATGTCCCTTAAGAATATCTGTGTACTGCTCACTATTCATATTCCCTTCAAATACACAGAGGGGCATTGCCCCTAACACAGATATGCCACTCCACATGTTAAATTTCAGACTGTACTTTGGGCGCTGATACAAAGGTTTTTCAGTTTGTTTGGTCCAGAATTTCAGTGTATTAGAAAACAGCCACACAGAACTTTCATCTGAGAAAATCACATTGTCCCAGTTAAAATTTCTATGCTGTAAGCACCAGTTCAACCTTTGCTCCTTTTTGTTCAGGTTTCATGATTGGTGATGGAATTCCTCGACTTTTCTGCCAACCCATTGCATGCAGCTCAGTTCTAATTGTCTCCTTACAGACAGCCACAGTTCCTCTATCAATCATATCCAGCTTTAAGTTTTCTAAACTCCTTCGTTTGTTTTTAGAAACAAGAATACCAAGCCGCCTCCTGTCACCGACAGTCAATTTTCTGGGCCTACCTGCGCCTCCCTGGTGCTCAATGCCATATCCATTTACAATATTTTTCAAAACACGATAAACAGTGGACAAAGGGATGCCTGTTCTACTTGAAATCACTTTAGCTGACCTGATGTCCTTGTTATAATACTCAACTTCCTCTTCTCTAAATCATCCATACTGAGGATCACTGAAAATGTCGTCTGCTAGCAAGTAAACAAAGGGGGATAACTCTTCACAAACTAATGAAAAAGGATCCACGGAGTTGTCTCTCTTGAATGAAACCAAGCACTTGATAGCTGGTCAAGGTTGTTTATACTAGAAATCGAATTAAACATATTCCTAAAATTCTCAATAATTTCTGGTCATACTATATATCGGTAAATGGTCTCTGATTCAGTGAAACACTTCAATAGTATTGGAGAGAAAATAACATCTTACTGTTTGTTTTTCAATGTCCCCTGTTATTTGGGAAACCACCACCGCTGAAAAGAAGCAAGTCAACAATTACCAGGTGCACAGTTTACCGTTAAGATCATCTTCACTTATCCAGGGCATAATAATGGTGCCCGGCATCTTAATCATCATTCTATCTATATGTGATGTACCCTGAACCTTTTTACCACCACAGCTTTATTTCTGATATAATGTGACTTTGTCCCTCTTTCTTTTTCATTATATCACACTCTGTAACCATCTATTTCAAAGTGATTCTCTCTCAGAACTTTTTAAATGTATTTGACATGGATCAACGTTCAAAATTACTCTCTCATCCAAGTCCTCTATATATTTAAAAGAATCAGAACACTGCTATAAAATTTGGTTTTTAAAGAAGTCTTATGCTATATGTATTTGAGGCACAATAAATTAAACTACATTGTCATGAGAGAACAGTTTGTAACAAATTAAACTACATTGTCTCTTAATAAACTGTATTTCTAACAGCCTGGCTTTGATGTGAACTGAGACTCTCACCAAACATTGATGCCTGAGGTTGTGGTTGTGGTTTAACTTGAGACACTGGAACTTTGTTCTAGAGAGCTGGCTGATGGTAAGTTCCTGAGCAAAGTTGGTCTTCACAGTCTCAAATGCCTTCATTGTCAACAAAGGAATGAAATTTATGTATTTGTTTATCTATTTGTTTGTTTGTTTAACCATTCATCCATCAACCCATCCATCCATCAACCCATCCATCTATCCTTTTCACCTATCCATCCATCCATCCATCCTTCAACTTCACTTCCATCATCCATATACATTCACCCATCCTTCCATCCATCCATCCACCCATCCTTCCATCCATCCATTCACCTATTCATCCTTCCATCAATCCATATCCTTCCATCTTCCATTCTATCCATTCACCCATTCCATCCATCCATCCATTCATCCTTCATATCCATCCATCCATTCACCCATCCATCCATCCATTCATTCCATCCATTCCACCCATCCTTCCATTCTTCAATGTATCCATCCATTTCACCCTATCCATCCATTCATCCTATCCATCCATCTATTCATCTATCATCTATCTTATTCCAATGTACTCTATCTATCTATCTATTATCTATCCATTCCATCTATTCATTCATCTATTATTCCATCTATTCAATTTTACCTATCCATCCATCTATTCACCCTATCTATCTATTCACCTATCTTTCCATATATCATCTATCTATTCATTCTATCCATTCTATCCTACATATTTCTATCTATGTCAATCTATTCCATCTTATCTAATTTATATCAATCTATCTTATTCATTCCTATCCTATTCTATCTTATTCACCTATCCATCAATCCATCTATCTTATTCATCTTATTCATCCATCATATCCATTCTATCTTATCCATTCTGTCCATCTATCTATCCATCCATTCATCCATCCATCCATCCATCCATCCTTCCATCTTATCATTATCTATCCATCCATCCATCCATCCATCCATCCATTCCTCTATCCATCCATCCATCCACCTATCCCTTCCATCCATCCATTTCCATATACCTATCCATTATTCACCTATCCTTCCATCCATCCATTCACCTTATCTTCCATCCATCCATCCACCTATTATCCATCCATCCATTCCACTCCATCCATCCACCCGTCCTTCCATCCATTCACCCATCCTTCCATCCATCTATTCCATCCTTCCATCCATCCATTCATCCATCCATCCATTCCACCTATCCATTCCATCCATCCATTCACCTTATCTATCCATCCATCCATTCTTACCTATCCTTCCATCCATCCACCCATATTCTATCCTTCCATCCATCCATTCCATTCACCTATCCTTCCATCCATCCATTCCATCACCCTATCCATCCATCCATTCACCCATTCCATCCATCCATCCATTCACCCACTCTATCCATCCATCCATCCATCCATCCATCCATTCATCCATCCTTCCATCCATCCATTCACTCCACCTGTCCATCCATCCATCATCCTCCATTCCATCCATCCACCCATCCATCCATCCATTCCACCTATCCTTCCATCCATCCATCCATTCCTATCAATCCATCCATTCCACCCATCCATTCCATAACCATCCATTCCACCTATCCATCCATTCCATATCCACCCATCCTTCCATCCATCCATCCTTCCATTCACCTATCCTTCCATCCATCCATCAATCCTATCCATCCATCCATCCATCAATCCATCCATTCACCCATCCTTCCATCCATCCATTCACCCACCCATCCATCCATCCATCCACCCATCCATCCATCCATTCACCTACTCCATCCATCCATCCATTCACACCCATCCATCATCCATCCATTCACCCATCCTTCCATCCATCCCATCCTCCCATCCATCCATCCATTCACTCCATCCATCCATCCATCCATCCATCCATCCATTCCATCCATCCATCCATCCATTCCATCCATCTATCCATCCATCCACCCATCCATCCATCCATCCATCCACCTATCCATCCATCCACCCACCCATCAATCCATCCTTCAACCTACCCATCATCCATCCATCTATCCTTCCCATCCATCCATCTCCACCCACCCATTCATTCATTCCATCCATCCATCTGTCCACCCACCTCCCATCCATCCACCCACCCTCCCACCCATCCATCCATCCATCTACTCACCCACCCATCCAAACATCCAATACTTGGATAGGGTCTGACAAAGACCACCACAGGACAAAATGACAGAATGGCTGTACTGTTTCCACCACCACTTCCTCATGCCATAGTGTGTACACACCACATGAAACACAGTTACACAGTTACACCAAGGCACTTCATTGCCATTCAACACACCAGCTTCTACTTCCAGAGTAGCGCTGACTCACCTGTATCACTGTATCATTGGAGGGGTGAATGACAACTCGGACTAGGGTCAGGCTAATATTTGACGTGTTATTGACAAAGTCAAGAATTGTCTCAAAGAATGCCTTGGCGACAGTCTGTGGGGGGTACTTCAGCACACCTGTTCCAACAGCAGGGAAAGCTATACTGGCATAGTTACACCTATCTGCTTCTGTGAGACACATCTCAATGAGATTCCGCAGCACCTGCACAGAAAATAATTTATCAAAATTATAACTCATTCTGACTTGTTCAGCATTCATCTAACACCTGCTTTAACTCAAACAATATTCATCACAATTTATACCACATCAAGTTTAACATCATCCTAGATTCTTCAGCACTTATCCAACATTTCCTTCAACAGTATCATGCAGCAGTTATCCCTAATCAGTTTAAACATCTACCAAAACTATCCTGTGTCAATATATTATCCAACATTTGCTTCAACAGTATCATCCAGCAGTTATCCCTAATCAGTTTAAACATCTACCAAAACTATCCTGTGTCAATATTTTATCCAACATTTGCTTCAACAGTATCATCCAGCAGTTATCCCTAATCAGTTTAAACATCTACCAAAACTCTCCTGTGTCAATATTTCCTAGCACTTATCCTCCACTACCCTCAACAACAATCAAATTCTTCAACACTTATCCCCTACTTGCTTAAGTCAATACCTCAGGTTATGAATCTTCACTGGGGCGTTAATGGAGTTCTTAGTTTCTCTCAGAGTGATATATTTTTGGTGATAAAGCATTAGTGTACTGGTTCATATGCCCATGCCCAAGCATTACCTGCTCAGCATCAGCACCCCAATTAGGCAGACAGGTGTGGTAGATCTGCTTGCAGGTGAGACTGCCCCCATCCGTCTCACAGATCTCCCCGAAGCCAATCCCCTGGGGGCAGTTATGCTGACACTGCTGCTGGATGTCTTGCCCCGCCCTGCTGAGGATCGCCTTCGACACTGGCCCTGATGACAGGTTCAGGTCCTTTGTTGTTGTGTTCACCAGGACACTGACCTGTAGAGAACACACATTAGGAAATGCAAAAACTTGAAGGCATTCTTACTACACATTTCTCACCTTTAATGGTACATGAAACTGTGTGTTAAGTGTTGATATAATCCCCTGAACACCCTGACACACCCTTTGATCCCCCAATGTTAAGAGAGATAGATGTATCTGTGTCTTTACAGTTAATTGTAAATGTGTGCTAAGGATGGGTGTGTCTGTAGATGCAAGTAGGTCTTACAAGTAGATTCAACTGTGTCCAAAGGAAAGATGTTTGTAGGTCTTAAGGGAAAATACAACTGTGCTATAAGGAAAGATGCAAGTACAGTACAACCAGAAATTATTTAGAATTTAAAGATTGTAATTTTATATATATTTTTTTCACCATTACTCACATATTAAATGTGAATATTAGCAGAACATAACTCCAGATTCAAAAAGACAGTTAGTATTTTGTCAAGTCACCATGGGCAGCAATGCAGGCTTCAATGCGGCGGGGCATTCTACTGATCAAAGAAGTTAAAAGTCGTGGTCCATGCTGTCCCAATATCGGACCACCTCTTCTTTCATTTCAGCAATATTTGTCAGATTTTTCTTATTGACACTTTCCTTCATAAGTCCCAAACATTTTTTCTATTGGATTTAAGGTCAGGACTATATTTTCGCCAATCTAATAATGTCATATTTTGTGTCTGAAACCAGACCTGTGAATGCTTTGAACGATGTTTTGGGTCGTTGTCCTGCTGGAAAATCCAAAACTTTCCATATAACATGTGAGCAGATGGAAGTAAATGTCCCTTTGAGAATATTTGCGACCGCTCACTGTTCATATTCCCTTTAAATACACAGAGGGCATTGCCCCTAACACAGATAGATATGCCACTCCCCACGTTAAATTTTCAGACTGTACTTTTGGCGCTGATACCAAGATTTTTCAGTTTGTTTGGTCCAGAATTTCAGTGTATTAGGAAACAGCCACACAGAACTTTCATCTGAGAAAATCACATTGTCCCAGTTAAAATTTCTATGCTGTAAGCACCAGTTCAACCTTTGCTCATTTTGTTCAGGTTTCATGATTGGTGATGGAATTCCCTCGACTTTTTCTGCCAACCCATTGCATACAGCTCAGTTCTAATTGTCTCCTTACAGACAGCCACAGTTCCTCTATCAATCATGCATCCAGCTTTAAGTTTCTAAACTCCTTCGTTTGTTTTAGAAACAAGAATACCAAGCCGCCTCCTGTCACCGACAGTCAATTTTCTGGGCCTACCTGCGCCTCCCTGGTGTTCAATGCCATATCCATTTGCAATATTATTCAAAACACGATAAACAGTGGAACAAAGGGATGCCTGTTCTACTTGGAAATCACTTTAGCTGATCTGATGTCCCTTGTCATAATACTCTAAAATCAACTTCCTCTTCTCTCTAAATCATCCATACTGAGGCATCTCTGAAAATGTCGTCTGCTAGCAGGGGATAACTCTTCACAAACGAATGAAAAGGATTAACGGAGATGTCTCTTTGAATAAAACCAAGCACTTGATAGCTGGTCAAGGTTGTTTATGCTAGAAATCGAATTAAACATATTCCTAAAATTCTCAATAATTTCTGACAAATCATACTATAGGTCCTAAGGGAAAATACAACTGTGCTATAAGGCAGAAGATGTAAGTAGGTCTTAAAGGAAATACAACAAAGTGCTATAAGGGGAAGATGTAAGTAGGTCTTAAGGGAAATACAACTGTGCTATAAGGAAGATGTAAGTAGGTCTTAAAGGGAAATACAACTGTGCTATAAAGGAAGATGTAAGTAGGTCTTAAGGGAAATACAACTGTGCTATTTTAAGGAAGATGTAAGTAGGTCTTAAGGGAATACAACTGTTATAAGGGAGAGGCCATAAGTGCTTAAGGGAAGCTATAAGGAAGCAAGTCTTAAAAGGAAACACAACCGTGCTATTAGGGAAGATGTGCGTGCAAGTCTTAAGGGAAATACAACTGTGCTATAAGGAAGATGTAAGTAGAAGTTTTAAGCGAAACACAACTGTGCTTTAAGGGACGATGCAAGTACGTCTTAAGGGAAATACAACTGTGCTATAAGGTGGAAGATGTAAGTAGGTTTTAAGGAAAATACAACTGTGCTTTTAAGTGGGACGATGCAGAAGCACGTCTAAGGGGAAATACAACTGTGCTTATAAGGGAAGATGTAAACAAGGTTTTAAGGGAAATACAACTGTGCTATAAGGGAAGATGTAAAGTAGGTCTTAAGGGAAATACAACTGTGCTATAAGGGAAGACACAAGTAGGTCTTAAGGAAAATACAACTGTGCTATAAGGGAAGATGTAAGTAAGTTTTAAGGGAAATACAACTGTGCTATAAGGGAAGATGTAATTAGGTCTTAAGGGAAATACAACTGTGCTATAAGGAAACACACAAGTAGGTCTTAAGGGAAATACAACTGTGCTATAAGGGAAGATGTAAGTAGGTCTTAAGGAAAATACAACTGTGCTATAAGGGAAGATGTAAGTAGGTCTTAACGGAAATACAACTGTGCTATAAAGGAAGATGTGTATAAGTCTAAGGGAAATACAACTGTGCTGTAAGGGTAGATGTAAGTAGGTCTTAAGGGAAATACAACTGTGCTATAGGGAAGATGTAAGTAGGTCTTAAGGGAAATACAACTGTGCTATAGGAAGATGGGTAGGTCTTAAGGGAAATACAACTGTGCTATAAGGGAAGATGTGGGTAAGTCTAAAGGGAAATACAACTGTGCTATAAGGGAAGATGTAAAGTCTTATGGGAAATACAACTGTGATAAGGGAAGATGTGGGTAAGTTCTTAAGGGAAAATACAACTGCTATAAGGGAAGATGTAAGTAGGTCTTAAGGGAAATACAACTGTGCTATAATGAAAGATGTAAGTATGGTCTTAAGGGAAATAACTGTGCTAAAAAGGCATGTTGAATGAACTGCGATGTACGTTTCTGTTCCTTTGCCCTTCTTTGCCTCTCACTCTAGCTCTACTTCAATTTCTTACAGTTGTCCTTGTTTGGTTTGAATTCTGGCTCTTCTTTGACTTGGACTTTTTGCCATTCTTTGACTTAAAGTTTAAACCCCAGATCACAAAAAAATAAATTAGAAAATAAATAACAGATATAAAGTCATCATACCTGTTGGCATATAATTCTCACCCTGTAAAACACAGGTAAAAAACATGCACATTTTTTGCCTCTGCCCAGTGATTTGAATTATGCAAAAGCTGTGTACACAGTGTCCACTGCCAGCAGATCTATAGCTAACAACAATGTGAAAATAACATTAAGCCCAATGTGACAACATTCTGGAACAAGTCAGTTATTGGACTTGGGGCTGCTGCGGACTTTGTTTCAGAGAGGATGACAAACATAAGTGTGTACACAGCTCCATAACGACAACAGCTGCAGCGTCAACCACAGCAGCGTTGTGGCTTTAAGTCTGACTTGGATTGTTTTTATCCCGGGCGTAACACGCTAACTATGGCGGTATTCCTACACACCCTATTGATTGTCCGCTGTGGATGATTGCCCTGGCTGTTAGTTTAGCCAAGTTTTAGATTGATGAAGGATTGTAGGGTACCTTGTGATTCCGGTGACTCCGATGATGTAGCTGTGTTTTGAACTGAAGTTCTCTGTATCTGTTTGCCAGCAGGACAGGTTGTGTTTTCAATTAACATGTTTTTAATTCTGGGTTGTTTATGATTAGAATTGGATGCTTTCATTTATGAATAGTTTTTGTTAACCATGTGTATCATTTCAGTTTATTCATGGTATATATGTGTGTGTGTGTGTGTGCGTGCGTGTGTTTTGTGTGTGTGCGTGTGTTTTGTGTGTGTGTGTGTGTGTGTGTGTGTGTGTGTGTGTGTGTGTGTGTGTGTGTGTGTGTGTGTGTGTGTGTGTTGTGTGAAAATCTTTCAGTAGGAGTTCAATAAAAAACAAGACTGAAGATTATTGTATTGAAATTTGAGGCTATGCGTACAGTGTTATTTAAGCTTATCCCCTAACTGGGCCTGTTGCATCCTGTTGTCTTGGTCAACTGGAAACTTTGGTGTTCTGAGTTAGAACTGATCCTTACCTTATGATGGTGTTAGTGGCAACTGAATGAGTCAGATGGTGGGACTTGGTGGTTGTTGTGTGGATGTACACATGGATCAATCATTGGATTGTCTAGTCTCAAGTCCATTACATAGGAATATTGCAGTTATAATTACACAATGCCATTAAGAAAGTGGTCAAATGTAACATATATTATATTTGGGATTACACTTTCTTAGTAAAGTACAAACTCAAGTACTTTTTTGGCTGGAGTCCCATCCGGGGTTTGAACCCACACCCTCAGAGTCCGGCACCAAATCGCCAGCACACAAAGTCAGCCGCCTAACCTGTTCAGCCACCGCTACTTCCACAAAAATGGAAGTCGGACAACTGGTAGTCTAGACTGCCAGTTCAGTTTGATTTGGTGCCTGACTCTTAGGGTGTGGGTTCGAATCCCGGATGGGATTCAACCCCAAAAAGTACTAAAGTTTTAAACTGAAATTGAAGAATTAATCCAGAATAATGTCCTTATTGTGAGATTATATGGGGTTTAATGTCTCCAACATTATAGAACTTCTACAGGGACGTGGGTCACTTAGGGTGACTTGTTGAACACAGACAACTGCAATATTTATGACGTAACATATGTTATATTTGGGATTACACCTTCTTAGTAAAGTAAAATTCTATTATATGCTCTGTTAAATATAAAAAAGGTACAATCCAAGAGTTTCATTTAACTGTTCAACTGTCGTATCTGCAAACAAAAGCCATACTTGTTTTTGGAAGCACAGTTTTATCAACAAGTGATATTGGAATCATCATATGAGTTGTCCACATCAAAGATGAGACTGTCTCTACCAATAATATAGTTATTAATATTTAAAGTGCAGCTATGTTGAATGCTATCAATCATGCATGTTAGACAGAACCAGCACAGCTGTGGACCGCTGGCCCCTTTTGCTGGAATAATACTGAGTGCTGCGTAAACAGCAAACAAACATACACAGCTGTAGGAGTCTATATGATAGCTGTTTTTACATTAATAGGGAATACGAATTTAATAGTTGTAATGCACATTTATTCTACCACTTTCATGAAGTTCAAAGCAAGTTGTTGGTACATATTTGATAAATTCTAAGTGATTTACATATTTTCATGACACACAGTTTTTGCTACTACACACACAATGTTGTAAATATACAAGACAAACATTCAGAGAAATGTGCAACCAATCTCACGTTTCATACACATCTGTGGCTGAAATGGAAGGTCAATTTTGAAATTTTATTGGAATATTAACATTCAAAGCTTTGCCATTTGGGTCAGGTGTTGCCAGACTCATGTGGATGGAGGGAGATACATATTTGATAAGCTGAAAATAGGTTTATGAAGTTGTGTATACCTTTCTTAAACAACAACACACCTTGAATATCAACTCGTTATCGAACAGGTAAATATCATCTTTGAGTGGCATTTTAGAAGTTGGAAAGTACAATATAGAACAAACTTTATGGATAACAACTTCTTTTTTATTCGTGAGTGCGACGTTTTGATACAGATTCTAGTACCGTTGTCAAGCATGACAACGGTACTAGAATCTGTATCGAAACGTCGCACTCACGAATAAAGAAGTTGTTATCCATAAAGTTTGTTCTATATAAGGTAAATATCATAAAGGAGGAACTTTAAGGATAAATATTTTTGAATTGTATGGCTGTAAAAATAGATATTCACACCATAAGTGTGAACATGTAAATATGTCTGACAAATAGTTTGCCTTTGTGAGAGGAGTATAAATATTAAATGGTAACTTAAAGTTCTGGGTTTTGTCTTTGTGTATAAATCTGGCATATTGGTCCATTGTGGATGCTGAGTCACACCGGGGGTGTAGTGGACAGCACAATCTACACAGAGATCAACTGGTTGGCGTTCAGCTTAGGCTTACACAGAGATTTGTACTATTTGGTGTAGGATAGAGTTAATGTTTGAAAAGGATAATTCCAAGAAGTCCACTGAAGGGAAAAAGACTACTGTCACGTGTCAGAGGCTGGGGATCTATCTACACAGTAAATGTGAAGAGATCAGGCTGGTGGGTACCGGTACCTCCTGACTCAAACTGGGATGACCTCTAGCTTGGGGGTGCATTTGCCCTCAAAATATGAAGGACATTTAGGTACATCTGCATTCAAATTGTGAAGATCTCAGGCTGCTGGGTACATTTGCCCTTGAAATATGAAGAACATTTGGGTACCTCTACACTCAAACTGGGATGACCTCTAGCTTGGGGGTGCATTTGTCTTCAAAATATGAAGGACATTTGGGTACATCTACATTCAGATTGTGAAGACATCTCAGTACCTCTACACTCAAACTGGGGACCTCTAGCATGGGGGTGCATTTGTCAAAATGTGAAGACACCCATTTCACATGATTGTGAAGATCTCAGTCCACTGGGTACATTTGTCAAAGATAGACACCCATTTCCACATGCACAAACAATTGTCAGATACATCTGAACAAAACCAGTCCACCGACATCTATGATGCAAGGGTAACATAATTCTCTGGTTTATTATTCAACACATAACAAGGCTCCTGCCATGTTGAAGTCCAATGTCCAGCTTGTCGATGGTGAAAATGATCCTTGTTCATCAGGTACAGTTCTGATATCTAAGAACATGACACCCAATAAATGTCCCGGTATTGATTCCCCCGACATAATCACAAACTGATATCCAGGTGTGAACTGTTTGTGTGAGGCTAAACCGTACACCTGACAAATATATGCCAGGTTTGAAAAATGTCCTGTTGTTGCCAATGCCTTGAACGTGTTTCTCCGACATGAAAGGCGCCGTGTTGGCTCATCGTAACACCGAAGTGGCAGGACCAGATGTAAATAAACTCAGTACATTTTTTGCTGCTTCAGAATGCATGCCTACCTCTGTCAACTCCTTGAATATATCCAACTATTTAGATCACCCTGATTCTCACCCGGTCTGTGTTTGCTTCACGGAGTTTGGGCAAATGCTTCTGTAAACCCTTCTATGTCTGTTGACAGTGTCCGAGGTTTTTGACGTCCGCTGTTTCTTTTAGTGATAGTCAGTGCAGCCACTATAAGAAAATGTCTATCCCTTCACAAATAGGGGACGAAGAAATTGTTTTTACTGTCTTTCTTTTATGATGGCGTTTGATTGCACCAGATTGAGCTTTGCCTCTTGGTGCAAAAGTTGTGAGATTGATCTTCATGCTTCTTGGTTCAGTGTTGGAGGTCTCAGTGTGGAATAGTTGTAAATTGGTTGCTTATGAGATGTGCTTCTGGAATTAGCCACTCTTCCTGATGTAATAAGCAAGTTGATGATGAGATGTGCTTCTGGAATTAGCCCCTCTTCCTGATGTAATAAGCAAGTTGATGATGAGATGTGCTTCTGGAATCAGCCCCTCTTCCTGACGTAATAAGCAAGTTGATGATGAGAGGTGCTTCTGGAATTAGCCCCTCTTCCTGATGTAATAAGCAAGTTGATGATGAGATGTGCTTCTAGAATGAGCCCCTCTTCCTGACGTAATAAGCAAGTTGATGATGAGATGTGCTTCTGGAATTAGCCCCTCTTCCTGATGTAATAAGCAAGTTGATGATAAGCAAGTTGATGATGATGATGTGCTTGTGCTTCTGAATTAGCCCCTCTTCCTGACGTAATAAGCAAGTTGATGATGAGATGTGCTTCTGGAATTAGCCCCTCTTCCTGACGTAATAAGCAAGTTGATGATGAGATGTGCTTCTGGAATTAGCCACTCTTCCTGATGTAATAAGCAAGTTGATGATGAGATGTGCTTCTGGAATCAGCCACTCTTCCTGACGTAATAAGCAAGTTGATAATGAGATGTACCACTTTGGTTAAGCCCGTGGGCATGGTGGCTTCTGGACATTTGTCAGATAAATTGAGAATACAAATCATTTCATCTTCCGGAACTGATTCCCATTGGGGATACTGTTAGTGAGATGAAACCATATCTACAAGCAAGTATGACTGTAATGAGATAATATCACATTGTGACATCACAGATGACCATGACATCACAGATTACCATGACATCACTGGTTACCATGACATCACAGGTGACCATGACATCACTGGTTACCATGACATCACTAATCTCACTGCCAGTGAGGCTGTTAGTGCTTCTTTTTACACTCAGCACAGAAAACAATTATGGATGTTAAATAGGATCAAACCCAGGCGATATCCACTACATCAACACTCTTTGATAAAGGTTTGCCAATACTCAGCAAGCCTTCCCCAAAGATTCATGATCCTTAACTTTATTTGTTCATTATGTGATGATGGTCTGTGAAAACAATGGGTGTTGACCAGACAGTCCAGTTATGACATCCGGTCCATCTGTCCATGGAGATGGGAGGCCATGATACACAATGACCAAGTCAGCGAAGTTGACCACCCGATCCTTGAAGTTACCTCTTATGTTCAGACAGGATTCATGTTGGTTGCCATGGTAATCATCAAGGACAGAGACCAGAGAGGTACTTAATGCCTGAAATAGTTCAATAATGATGACCTTGTAACCATTGCTTTCCCAACAGGAGTATGAGGTAGAAGGTCTTCAGTCCCCGACTCCAGTGCCCAGAGCAGTATCACGTTGTCTAAGTGTACGATATGGCTGGTGGAGTTGCTCGTGCTATCAGCCATTTGTTTGTGTGGTTCAAACCTTGATAATAATGATAACCTAGTAACGATTGTTCTCCCCAATGGATGTCTGAGACAGAAAGGTCTCCAGTCACCTACAACAGTGCCAAACTCCAATGCCTGTATCACGTGAGCAGTATCACTTGGTCAAAGTGTTCTATGGCAGGAGGAGTGGCTCGTGCTATTAGCCATTGGTTTGCCTGCTTCAAACTTGATAATAAAGGTTGTGGTGATATTGTTGGAATGGATATCGTTGTCAGTGGGATGAAACATAATTCACTCACTGAAGGAGTCAGTGTGTGGGATACTACAGAAATGTACTTAATCAGTAATAAAGTTCATAAAGTTATTTCACTATTAAATGTAACTCTATATACCAAATGTTTATAAATGCTTGCCATTAATACATATATATATATATATGCTGAAGGGACCAAGATGTGTGGCATTTGTAGTGGGTAGCCTAGTGGTTAAAGTGTCAGTTATAAATGCTTGCCTCGTGCTGAAGGGACCAGAAGACCCGGGTTCAATTCCCCACATGGGTACAATGTGTGAAGCCCATTTCTGGTGTCCCCAGCCGTGATATTGCTGGAATATTACTAAAAGTGGCGTAAATGGAACTCCCTCACTCTTGGGACCAAGATGTCTTACATTCTTTGATCTATAACTGAGTGTAATTTGGATCAATGTGTGTTTCTAGTGTCACTGTAGACACCTTGTCTCTTAGAAATATATTTACAACAAATGTAGGGATTTTTGTCTTTATTCAGTGTTCCCTACAAACTGTGTAGTTATTCATTTGGAATATTTGTTGGATGAAGTTTGTGATAGATTTGGGTCAGTTTAGTTATAGTATATGTGGATATTCACATACAGTAACATTTTGAATATATTTGCATAATCAGTTAGCCTCTATTATGCATTTATTCATACAATGTGACATATCTGTACCAACACCTCCCTGTACAGTATAAATTATCTTTATTAAAACTTCTACTTTTGCTGTTTACAATGTTTACCAGATTTCATTTTAGTGAAGGTAAGAGACTGTAAATGTAAACAAAATGATTATTCTTCAGTTTCCTTTTGAAAAGTGCATATATGCAAACATATAGCCAGGCTGTATTTAAAGTCACTACCACAAGAGTTTAATTAGCTTGGATTTGATTTGATTGTTTGTTTGGGAGGTTGTTTGTCAGCTCTCTCACAGGATTTATGGGGGCAGTAGTTAAAATGTTGTTTTTACCAGAAGTGATAAATGTTCTGAAATGGATCAAGAGAGTTGTAGCTAATGTAGTTTATATTGCCTATGAGGGCAAAGATGTCGGCAATAGCTGGGCAGTTATCTGATGTGGGGTACATATATGTTATAATCTATGACAGTGACTGTCTGTCACACAAAATATGGTTCATTTATTGTACAGTTGAAAGTAGACACAAGGGGCCCAGTTGTCTAATCTGACACAGTTTGCTTTCCAGAGTTATGTCCCTTGGGCAGGACAGGATCCGATCATTTTGGGTTCAAATCCCTGTTTGTTGGATTATGTCTCTAGTTTCAGAGGTATTTCAAGTCAAGTCAAGTATTTCAAGAATACAGAGTGTATAGAGTTATATAATGTACATCAGGATGTTAACACAAGGTTGGATTTTGAACTGCTATCTAAGCTCACACTTTTTTTATTTTCCAGAAACCCCCATCAGATGAAACATGCTCTCTTATCCTTAGTGGAAACTCCACAGAATAATCTAAAGATATGCAAAGTAAGTACTACTTGGGATGCTTGGATTCACATTCGATTTTGTAGTTGTCTATTTTGTATTTGTTCACGCAATATTGATCTGTCATCAGCAAACATTGCTTGTCGTAACATGTATACAAACTACGGACCTGACCTATGTCATCACATCCCTGTATACAATCAGCAAACATTGCTTGTCGTAACATGTGACTAACAAGGTCGTGACTCACGGACCTGACCTATGTCATCACATCCATCATGATGTGCTCATGATGTCAATCACTGGATTGTCTAATCCAGACTTGATTATATGCAGACTACTGCGATATTATAGTTGGAATATTGGCGAATAAAACAACAAACCAGTATGTATCACGTGATTCATCCAGATTGTGTTCTTGGTTTGAATCACTTTGGCTTGCATGCTCACTGCATATCTGGGAGAATCTGGGTTGGAACTGGCCGCCAACAACTGGTATCAGGCGACTGTGTTTGTCATCAGAGGGTGACTGAATATCTGGGAGAATCTGGGTTGGAACTGGCCGCCAACAACTGGTATCAGGTGACTGTGTTTGTCATCAGAGGGTGACTGAATATCTGGGAGAATCTGGGTTAGAACTGGCTGTCAACAACTGTTATCAGGCGACTATGTCTGTCATCAGAGGGTGACTGAATATCTGGGAGAATCTGGCTTATATCTGGCCTACAACAACTGGTATCAGGTGACTGTGTTTGTCATCAAAGGGTGACTGAATATCTGGGAGAATCTAGGTTATATCTGGCCTACAACAACCATGGTGTCAGGGGACTATGTTTGTCATCAGAGGGTGACTGAATATCTGGGATATCTGGGTTATATCTGGCCTACAAGAACCATGGTGTCAGGGGACTATGTTTGTCATCAGAGGGTGACTGAATATCTGGGAGAATCTGGTTATATCTGGCCTACAACAACTGGTATCAGGGGACTATGTTTGTCATCAGAGGGTGACTGAATATCTGGGAGAATCTGGGTTATATCTGGCCTACAACAACTGGTATCAACTGGTAGGGGACTATGTTTGTCATCAGAGGGTGACTGAATATCTGGGAGAATCTGGGTTATATCTGGCCTACTGAAACAAGAATCTGGTGTCAGGGGACTATGTTTGTCATCAGAGGGTGACTGAATATCTGGGAGAATCTGGGTTATATCTGGCCTACAACAACTATGTTTGTCATGGTGTCAATGGGGGACTATGTTTGTCATCAGAGGGTGACTGAATATCTGGGAGAATCTGGGTTATATCTGGCCTACAACAACAATGGTGTCAGGGGACTATGTTTGTCATCAGAGGGTGACTGAATATCTGGGAGAATCTGGCTTCTACAACAACTTATATCTGGCCTACAACAACTGGTATCAGGTATCAGACTATGTTTGTCATCAGAGGGTGACTGAATATCTGGGAGAATCTGGGTTATATCTGGCCTACAACAACTGAATATGGTGTCAGGGACTATGTTTGTCATCAGAGAGGGTGACTGAATATCTCAGAGGGGAGAATCTGGGTTATATCTGGCCTACAACAACATGGTATCAGGGGACTATGTTTGTCATCAGAGGGTGACTGAATATCTGGGAGAATCTGGGTTATATCTGGCCTACAACAACCATGGTATCAGGGGACTATGTTTGTCATCAGAGGGTGACTGAATATCTGGGAGAATCTGGGTTATATCTGGCCTACAACAACCATGGTGTCAGGGGACTATGTTTGTCATGAGAGGCAACTAACAGGATGGGGTGGTAAGACTCACTGAAATGCTTGATACATGGTCTGCAAGTTGTGTAGATCAATGCCCACACCAATCAGTCGATTGTCTAGTCCAGGTTTCCCAGACACCCAGAGTTATCCCAAGGTCACTGACTCTATACTTGTTCTGTCCCAGAATGGTCAAGAGATATATGGCGCCTGCGTCAAGCAGGACATCAGTGAAGATCTAGAGGACTTTTTCAAGGGAAGCCAACACAAGAAACATAGGTAGGTGGATGGAAGAGGTGCATCTTCACCCTCGTCTTTCACCTGGGTAGATGTTGTAGTTTCCCCCATTACATGTTGATGGGGTGTAGAAATGTCGTTTTGATGTCAGTATGGCTGGAAGGCCTACAAAGGTGGTAGATGGTGGTATTATTTCTCTGCAGTCATGACTCTGTATTCGTATGTCATGCTCCCAATTATGATGGGGGCGGTGGGGTAGCCTAGTGGTTAAAGCGTTCGCTCATCATGCCGAAAACCCGGGTTTGATTCCCCACCTGGGTACAATGTGTGAAGCCCATTTCTGGTGTCCCCCGCCATGATATAGCTGGAATAGGGTTAAAAGCGGCGTAAAACTGAACTCACTCACTCCAATTATGATGCATGCAGAGTTAGATCCCTTATCTATGCCAGGATCTGGTCATGGGTTTGAATCCCATGTACGACCTGATTATGATCCACAGCCTTTCATCACCTCACCCTACTTTTGAGTATCAACAACAATTTACATGTCAGTCAGTCACAATCAGGCTCAGACCAACTTTATTTATAGCCTGTGTAAAACTCCAGTGTTTTTATAACTATCTAAACACTGTCAATACAGAATACAAAGTACTCAATGTTTTTTAATAATTAAAGACTCACTAGCAAGAATACAGGCAGCAGACATTGACTCCTTACTTGAATTCATACAGTATAGAAGATATGCTACTCAAAGGAACTTAACACCACTCCATGTGTGGTATGGCTATATTTGAAAAACTTCTGGTGCAGTTCTGAACTTTTTTATGTGGTATATGTACCTAATGAATCCAATTCTTGTATGCTAATTAATTGTTTTTTTCCATTTCAGATTTGAGTATATGTTATTAGATCTAGTCATAAAAATCCTTCTTGCTCCTGGAGGAAGGGGAGGTAACTGCTCACACACAAACTCACCTCGACACATTAAACCACAACGATGTCAGAACAGCAAGTTTGAACACACCAATGGCGATGGTTTGTGTGTTTATTGATGCATAACATTTTCAAGATCATTATTCCCATCTGTGATTTGAGTCACTGATAAGTTATTTTTTCGTCCCAGTACAATTATGCATCAGGTGTACATGACAGGTGTTGTGTTGCTACTTGTGTTTTTAAGGGAATTCCTTTTTGTGCCTTGTCAGCAGATTTATTAGCAGTGTGAAGTGCATTAGCTGTTGTCAGATGGCGACATGGAATGTTGTAACTGAAATGGAGGGATAATCTGTTTAAAGAATTAGTTATAGAAACTTCTTGAATAACATCTCTACATGATGGACAGCCAAGTTCATTGCGTCCATGTTAAAACTGGGTAGTATCTTGTGTTTTGGTAATGTCACTATATATCTGTTTGGGATTTATTGTTTTTCTGTTAGAATATTATGCATTGATTCCAAGAAGTAAATCATGACAAATGTTATGTTATGAAACATTGAAGTCTAGTTGACCAGTGTTATTTGTCAAATCTCATGCCTTATTAACTCTTTGTCTTAAAAACGTGTCACTGCTAATCTGATCCACAGTGAACATCTCTGTTTTTCATAGAAATAAGTAAAAACAACTATTCCGAGGGGCATGACCATGGTCTAAGGGAAGTAATCATGTTTTTCAACTGTATTAGATGAAGCAGTCGTAAAATGGTGTAGTGTGTATATTTTAAGTGCACTTGCTTGTTTGTCACTTGTTTTATTATGAAAGGTAATATAACATTGTGTGAGCTAGTGAATTAAAATGAATGACTCAGAGGCCTAGATAAGCTGCGTATCCGGGTAAAATAGGCATAGAAAATTTCCAATTACGCATTGAAAAATAATTGTTGCGTACCAATTACGCATTTAAAATGTTAGATATCGCAAAAAGTTTAAAACAAATGCGTACGGAATATATTTATAAAAATCGCTCGTGTACTGAAAAGACATCGATTGCTATCAAGTTGTACTGTTAGTATAGGACTAGTGTTGTACTGTCAGTAAAGGATGAGTGATTTTCTATGAAATCATTTCCCTTATATTTAAGTTGGTTTTGATTAGGTATGACATAAGGCAGAACATACCTGCTTAGTAAACTTACTCAATGACATAATACTTAGGTTAGTAAAATGACTGAAATATGCACATATTTGAAAGCAGTGGGTAACGGAAAATGAAATACCCACTCAACATTCATAATACCCACTCCAAAAAAATACAGTGGGTACAGTACCCACATGAGCTAAATCTTATCTGGAGCTCTGTGACTTATCAAAAAAAGACCTACTGTATTCAGATGCAAACTAGATGGTATTGACTTAGTCTTGTATCAAACCTCAAACTAGCACTTCTTTGTCACATGGTGCGTGATATTGTTAAAGGCATTAAAATTTACTGATCCACTAAATAGTTTTAAAGCACAATTTACCAGGACACCTTCTACAGTTATGTTTAACCACACTGTTGTATGTGTCTGAGTGTTGTTCATCTTATGTCTGACAGTGGCCCTCAGTTATCTTCCTCATGGCTGTGTGCTGGAGCGGATCTGTTCCATCCAGAAACTGGACGACCTGGACATAGAAAACATCTACCCCCTGTATCAAAGACTCCAGGCTCACTTCAAGGACCACCCCACTGACAGGTAAGGCCAATCTGAAGGACCACCCCACTGACAGGTAAGGCCAATCTGAAGGACCACCCCACAGACAGGTAAGAACAGCCCTACAGACAGGTAAGGCCCATCTGAAGGACCACCCCACAGACAGGTAAGGCCCATCTGAAGGACCACCCCACAGACAGGTAAGGCCCATCTGAAGGACACCCCACACACAGGTAAGGACAGCCCTACTGACAGGTAAGGCCCATTTGAAGGACCACCCCACAGACAGGTAAGGCCAATCTCAAGGCCATGTTACAGACAGATAAGGCCAATGTCAAGAACCACCCCAAGGACCACCTTTAGACAGGTGAATCAGTGCCAGGACCACCCCACAGACAGTTAAGGTCCTTCTCAAGAACTGCTGATACTCTGTATCTCCAGTGCTTGTATTTAGCTCAACCTGGCTCTCATGATCTCAATTTACATACCTTGATACCCAGTGACATTTTTCGACCAATCAAAAGTGGAGAAGGGTAAGATAAGACTCATCGCCACCTGATGTAATATAAGTTGTAGCATTGTGATGAGGGGTATACATGGTTTTATGGGTCCAGTGTTAGGTTTTATCCACCGAGCTAGAGCCCACCCCCCACTCCTTAATCTCATCTGCATCCTTCTACCCTGTGATAATGATCCGTCACTACAATGTGGACCATAAAACACGAGATTAATGTCATTCTGATAGATATTGAACAGTCTGGTATGTTTTTTTAGGGACCAGAATATCTGTGACTGTTTCAGAAATCACTGGGGACTAGATGGTCCATACACTCGTGACCTCTGGATGATGGGTTCAGAGGTGAAGGCCAGTGTTGCTGTAGCTAGTCTGGAGTTTGCTGTAGATAAGGTGAGTACATGTACAGATGAACATGTTCAGTGTTTAGTTTTGTCCTCTGTCGTCATCACTTGTTCATCATTTCCTCAGGTGTTTCAGTCCAAGTCAGGGTGGTAGGGTCTACAGGAGATTAGTGTTGAGTGCAAACTTCCTAGTCCTCAGACACCCCCTACCCCCTCTAACCACCCTCCTAGTGCCCATATCCTTCCAATCCCCAGCCCGGGACCAGGCCCCACCCCACCCCAGCCCAATCCCAAGCTCCAGTGCCCCAGCCCCGCCCCAGCCCCAGCCCCAAACCCTGCCCCAAAGCCCCCAGCCAAAAGCCCCAGCCCAAACCCCAAACCCAACCCCACCCCAGCCCCAAATCCAAATCCAAATCCAAATCCAAATCCCAGCCCCAGCCCCAGCCCCAGTCCCAAACCCCCAGACCCAAACCCAGACCCAGACCCAGACCCAGACCCAGACCCTGCCCCCAGCCCCTGCCCCCCCCTGCCCCTGCCCCCTGCCCCAGACCCCCCAGCCCCTGACCCCCTGCCCCTGTCCCAAACCCAGTCCCACCCTGCCCCTGCCCAGCCCTGACCCAGACCCAGACCCAGACCCAGACCCAGACCAGACCCAGACCCAGACCCTGACCCTGACCCAAACCCAATCCCCGCCCCAGGGATAGCTGGAACATTGCTGAGTGCAGCGTTAAACAACAAACTAACCAACTAACCAAATCATAATGCTGTGTTCAAAAGAAAGAATACAATCAATAACATGTTAAGTGGGTTTTTGTACCATAATTTTGTGAAACTGTGACATTGAAAATTTTCAGGTTTTTTTATGATTTTGCCAACATATACAGTATTTGAAAGAAAGTAGTATACTTTTTATGAACAGTTGTTTTTCATATGTATTTTCTTTTCAGGTTAAGAGATTCCTGATTTCCAAGACAGTCCAGGATTGCTCCATCATTGTGGCACTGCAGCCTGTCAAACAAGGGTAAGTATGTTGAGTGGTAGATAGGTGCTCATGATGTCAATCACTGGATTGTCAGGTGCAGACTTGATTATAGATTATATACAGAGATCAGTGTGGCACTGCAGCCTGTCAAACAAGGGTAAGTATGTTGAGTGGTAGATAGGTGCTCATGATGTCAATCACTGGATTGTCAGGTGCAGACTTCATTATAGATTATATACAGAGATCAGTGTGGCACTGCAGCCTGTCAAACAAGGGTAAGTATGTTGAGTGGTAGATAGGTGCTCATGATGTCAATCACTGAATTGTCAGGTCCAGACTTGATTATAGATTATATACAGAGATCAGTGTGGCACTGCAGCCTGTCAAACAAGGGTAAGTATGTTGAGTGGTAGATAGATGCTCATGATGTCAATCACTGGATTGTCAGGTGCAGACTTGATTATTTACAGAGTGCATTGTAGCACTGCAGCCTGTCAAACAAGGGTAAGTATGTTGAGTGGTAGATAGATGCTCATGATGTCAATCACTGGATTGTCAGGTCCAGACTTTATTATAAATTATATACAGAGATCAGTGTGGCACTGCAGCCTGTCAAACAAGGGTTAGTATGTTGAGTGGTAGATAGGTGCTCATGATGTCAATCACTGGATTGTCAGGTCCAGACTTGATTATAGATTATATACAGAGATCAGTGTGGCACTGCAGCCTGTCAAACAAGGGTAAGTATGTTGAGTCTGAGGCAGTCAACTATACACTTGGAAAAAAGTAAAGCATCACCCTTTCTTGATGCTCACGTTTCCCCAACTTGTGTCTTTGGCAGATGCTTACATGTGACATGATTCTGATTTATGTGTCAAAGAAACTGACAAAACCTGATGAAAGGTTGCTCCAAGAAATTGTACATACTATTCGCATCTCGTTCGAATTATCTTTTGACAAAACTTTCATAGTCTCATATAAAGCAGACTTTTTACCACACTTCTCACCAAACCATTCTCCCCACTTCCAGGGTGTCTGAGGAAAACAGCGTCATACATTTCAATGACGTTTACTACCAATACTCCATCGAACTGGTCGACCTTGACCCCAAGCCCTTCGACAAGATTGAGCAGTACTACCGACAGGATATGGACATTGTCCATGCATATCAGGAAACCATCGGCAAGTCGCGGACCAAGTCAGTATGACACCGACGTTGGGAGGCCTTCCTCAATGTTACATATCTGAAAGCCTCTGTGATTGTCCTGGGATTGGTTGCTAATGACGACGGCCTGGTTGGGGACTGAAGTCAACAACAGCACTTCACTGACTTGGGTAACTTTATCTTCACACTTCTCTTCAAGGCAGTACTTCCTGTTGTGAACACCAACGTCTAACAAATGTTGGGTTGAGATGCCATATTGGAGATGCCAGATTGGAGATGCTGGCATCAAACAGATGGGTGATGTTAAACATTTCTTCTCGTTGGAGGAGAAGAATCGCAGTGAAGGACACAATATCACTCTAAAGCTCTTCCCCTACAAGTTCCGTAATTTGAATTAATTGTTTGGGTCTTTTCAACTGACACAGTCAATGGGTACATGATTTTATTATTTGTTTTTAATATGTTTGCAAATCTGATCTTAAAGTTAATCAAGCAAAGATGTTTACTGGTTTCCTGTTTATGAATTCCAGACCAAAGTTCTGATTCCAGTGAGTTACACTCTGTGCACGATTACCACTGATCATTAGAGATGGTTTTGGTATGTAATAATAATCTTACTGTGCACGAGTAGATCTTAGGACTAAAATGGTTGTAGTGAGTTAAAATTTAATGTCACATTGGCAGTTATTTTGGCCATATTGTAACTGATGATGAACATCAGCGTTGCAAACTCCCGCCTGCCCAACCGTCTGGGACGGTCTGTTTTGCGACTGGACGGTCAGTTTTAAAAATTGCACGCCCGATGGTCTGGCTGTTAGATCGTTATAAACTAGCCTTGACTGAAAAACATTTGAAAACGTGTTTTATTGTGACAATAACCTGACATTAAACTCCTCTTATTAACCTTCTTTATATTTTTCTTAATCCAGAAAATTCTGGACTGGCAATTTTCCAGCCGGTCTGGTAACTTTTGAGAGTTACCAGACCTGTTGTCTGGCTGAAATTTTGGGGAGTTTACAACACTGTGAACATACATTAAAATGATAGCATTTTTCTGAGACCATGGCTGGTTATGATCAGTCATAGAGAATACAAGTTGTAGTTGTCATGACAACAATGTCAGCGCTACACCTTAATGAATGAATACTGAGATGAGAAAATGTAGTCTGGTGTGAGATGTAAACAGTTTCAATGCAAAAATGTGTCAAACTTGATGTTTGTTGTAGAAAGTCATAATCTTGTTATGTGAAGAATGAAAGAACTTTGAATGTGGACTTGAATAATCTGTGTCATATTTGTATCATTGTATTTCTGTTACGATTCTGTGTATCAATACAAAACCAAATCTTCCAGCTACATGTGTTTAAACAATGAACCCTCAGGTTAACTGACTGTGAGAGCAGTCCACACTTGTCTGGTTGATCCAGAAACCCGCTTGAACAGACAGACAACATTAAACTGCAGGAAAGTTGTGTCATGCTGAAATACAGGGTTTAGGTTGACCTGCTCAGAAGCTGAGGTTCAACTCCAGAGCAAATGTCAGTTCAAATTCCAAAATTCAGTTTATGTAAATATCGTATGAAATTCTGGCCAATGATACGGCTCAGTTGAGGAAATTGTGTGCGACAGAAAACAGGACCAGTGCAGAGAAATGCACAGGAAGCAGCTTTAATGGTTATTTTGATATTATTGCAATGCTTAGTAGATCCTCTGAACTGAAGAAAATGTTTAAAAAATAAATAAATACCTGAAATTTGTTAATCTGGATCAGTTCACAGAGACGAGATTCTCCAGATTAACACAGTGCCACTGAATACAAAGTCTGTACAAACTGTCTCTGGTGGAGATTCTGGTAGTTATTTGTTGTTTGTGCCATAACTGGTAAACATGTCACTGTCCTTGACCTTCGATGTGCTTTATTATCTTTATATGTAAGTAGGTAGTGTTTCTGTGTGCCATATTTCTCCACAACCACAATAGTCACGGTCATTTTTTCAGTTTGTGATCAATTATGTACTTGGTGAAAAAGGAAAATGTCTTTTTAGTTTTTTGTGTGAATGATTGCTTTAAATGGCATCCAGAAGTCAGTATGATGAACAAGGGAGATAATTTAAGTTATGGAAAATGTCCCCTGTTTAATTATGTGTGATTTGTTAGGGGGTATGTATTTATATAAAACTAATCAAAATTCAAGAATATAATCTTTCTCAGGTTAAGGGATAGGTGAAACTGAATACTCAACAATGGCTGGCTGTGTACTTATGTTGAGACTTGGAAACAACGAATGTAGTGCTGCTCCGGGCTACATAATGACAAATATTTATTTGAAACTTCAACAATATTTTATTTATTCTTCAACAGGAGCAGTCTAATACTGCAAATCACATGACAGTATGGAAGGATGAATGGATGTGGATTATTGCTGACATAATCCTGTGGAAATATAGGCATTAGAACAACTCGTTAACAGCATCATCAGGAATAGAAATACTTTTTTTTCTAAGTGTGCCTTAGGGCACCAGACAAATATTTTAGGTGTGCCTTTCAGAAATCAAGTATGCCCACATGTTTTTAGAATAAATGACAATGATGATGATCATTTGAAATTTATTGTTAAATAAAGAAATGGGTTTATGAGCATTCAAATATGTATGGTATTATTTAATTTGGAAAAAAATAATTGTTTTGGGGATTAAATGACTAAATGTGAGTTATGTCTCTGAAAAATCAGGCGTGTCAAAAGGGCACCGTGAACATTTTTTAGCCGTGCCATTTCAATATTTACCGTGCCATGGCACACTAATATATGGGGTATTTCGAACCCTGATCATGTAAATCTGTGATACTGACTGTTTAATGTGATCGAGTTCATCACTTATTTGTGATCCCCACCAATCAATTTAAATAATCAAAGTAATTTAAAGTTTTGTGAAGAGAAGCGCTTCCTCCCTGGGCAAGGGAGATAACTTATTCTATAGTCAGTTAATTCCCTTACTTTGGAAGGATGAGAGAAGCTTGGCTTGAGAATATATGCTGTAAAGTCATTTAAATAGTTCCTGTAAAATAGGGGCGGTGGGGTACCCTAATGGTTAAAGCGTTGGCTCGTCACGCTGAAGACCCGGGTTCGAATCCACACTTGGGTACAATGTGTGAAGCCCATTTCTGGTGTCCCCCGCCGTGATGTTGCTGGAATATTGCTAAAAGCGGCGTAAAACCAAACTCAGTCAGTCAGTCAGTCCTGTAAAATAATTTAAATAGTGGCTTGTCAATATACTGCTCAACTTTCATAGGGATACTCTATGGATACAGACTGGTTACTTGTTGTGTAAATGGTGTAAGATAGGCTGTTATCCTGGACCCAGATGTATCAAACTTTAATGAAGCAATAACGTGACATAAAACGTTCATTAACTAATGTATCGTTAAATTCTGTTGTACTAACGTTTTAATGACGTCGTGTTGTCATTGGCACATCATTCACTTATAATGAAGGTTCTGGGGTATCATTAGAGCGTTATTAAACTTCCTGGAAAAGTGAATGTTGAGCCAGAATTTCGTTTGCTCAGCACTGGATCTACCTACAGCTATAAAATTACACAGAAATGTAGAGTATTAAATGTCCTATCTCATGGTATAAACTCAGTTTGCAAAGTAGACACTGCCAAATGTTACCCCTAATTTTTTTATGCGTTAAAAACAGTAAATTTCTCTGCTTTTTATCGTGCACTGATAAAAAGTACTGTGGTACTATATTTTCAATTTGGCATCTTTATGGAAAGTGTGAGTGAACAAAATTCTGCCTGATACCTGAACGACATAGGTATGTATTAAATTAGTGTGTGTGCCTATGTATATCGTTATACACTCAATCTTAAAAATGACTCGCAATATGTGTTGAAAATGGATTTCCCCTATGACGTCAAATGGCTACAAAAAGGTCATACGCTTATAAAGATAAGGGGGCATCGCTCCGCTATGCTTAATACTAAGTCATTGTAACTCAGATCACTTGGAGAGAATTTGCTGTGAATAAGGACACTATAGTTTTCGTGATGTTTTGTTCACGGAATTATCGAAAACAATGATACTCGAAACATTTGTGACAAACGTGCACCTGGCCAATGATTATACGCCATTGTTTTCTCTATAGCACAACATAAACAAATTCAATGAACAAGACATATCCTTTAAAAACGTGTGCATATATACATTTCATGAAATAAATAAATCATTTTTATTTATTATGTCAGTTTTACTTAGGTTTAAATACTAAATGTTGATAATGAAATTAGTTTCATGAAACCATATGTAAACGATACGCTAAGTGTACATTAATAATAAAAGTGTAATCCGCAGGACAGTGTGATTGTGTTTATTCTTATTCAACCGACCTTCACCTCAAAGAAATATGCCACATATGTCCAACAATGTTGACGTAATGACATCACTACCGATGACCGATTTCTCATGAAATTGGCGGCATTGTGGATATCTGTGCTCACGATTTTGCGAGGGAACCTTTGTCCATAAATGTATGATGTAAGTAATCGGAAACATTCTGACTATCTGCGTATGGTTATTTGTTTTTATTGTTTTCATTGAATAAGTTAGAAATGCCGATAATTGCCTATGTTGTTCTCCATGATTTTGCGTCTGGCATGGCGTCACGGTGTGTATCAAATTCTGTATTGTATCTGTTTTTAATTTTCTAGTTCTTGCTACGATACTCTTTCCGTGCATATTCTAAAAGTATTGAGCTCATGCATGCTACGAATAGACAAACTGATGTCCTAAAACTTGAGAAAATGCTGCCCAGTATAAAATCTAATTTTCGCTTTGTTTACTTTTCTAGCAAGCGCTGTGTTATGAGCACAACGCTCCGTTTTCACACCCAATATGTTTCGTTTTTTTCTAGACACTTGGTTTTACTGACAAAGACCATTTGTAAGTTGATTCTAAAATGTATGAGGAATTCAGCGATGCATTTGTCACAACTGAATATGAAATATACGTGATGTAATAGTCGTCATATGACCGGCCTTAGCGAAACTTGATTTTGTAAACACTATCCAATATGGCGGAAAACTCACTTCGGCGTTCGTGTTCGTGTATTTTCCAAAACATCCCAACTGATTCTAGGTTTATCGGCGACGTTTCAGAATTATTTAGATGTGTTTCTTCACAGCAGTCGAAATGTTTGTTTTTGTTCCGAGGTTTAGCCGTAAAGATGCTATTTTGACGGACGAACGAGAGTAACGCTTACGTGTTAACGTCGCGGATTGTGGGAAATATTTAGGGGAATCCCCGAATTTAATGAAAATAGTTACATTAGGACGTCATTAGATAATGATACGCTATTAAGTTATTGATACAACCGTTTTTAACATTGCCATTAACTAATGATGCATTAAGGATTTAATGTACCATTAGGGTTTAATGTTGACATTAGTTAATGAAGCAATGATACAACGGATCCTGATCAGTAAGTTAGTATCTTAATAACATCGAATGAAGAGGAGCTTAGAATCTCTAAGTTTTTATGAAAAGCGTCATGATAATAGCAGGATACCAAACTTTTGGGACGAATAGAAAAAACATGAAATGAAAAAACCAACATGTTTTGCTCTGTTTATTTTCGGATTTAATTTCATCGACTATATTTCCCCACTTAACAGATAGTTTATATGTTATGGCTCTGTAAACTAGGTTTGTCAAAAGTATCATCTCAGGTTTAACATGCTTTATCAAATCATGTTTTAGCTTACGTTGTCACAAGTTGTGTCCGTAAAGATTTTGCTATTTTTGCTCGTCCAAAATGGCTTGATAGCTCACTTCTTTGATTGAAATCAAGACCGGGTTAAAAGATCTTCTTTTTCAGAATCAGAATCAGCTTGAAGCACTTGTAAAATCTCCATTCAGTCAAAACATGCTCTGGAGATCTGGGTTAAAATAAGTTTTAAGTGTATAAGTGTAGCACTTGTACGAAAGGATGATGTTGGAGTGAGTGAGGCAGTGTGACTGGGTTAGAATAGGTTGTCAGGAATGTAGTATGTAGTACTTGCAGGGAAGGACGATGTTGAAGTGAGTGGTAAGGCAGTGTGACTGGGCTTGTTGCATGTTTATTCTAAATGCAGATTACAAACACAACCTCACAGAATATTAATATAACCTTCATTCTTAGTCGATATATTTTTCAGTGAGAACACAATGGACGTTAAGTAGACAGGTGTAAATCCCAACAATGATAAGTGAACCAAAAAGCAGCTGAAATAAACCAAATTCACTAACTAGAAGCTGCGTAATACTTGTGTCTGTATGTAGAAATTATTATCATATCTGGGGCGACGGGGTAGCCTAGCTGTTAAAGTGTTTGCTCGTCACACCGAAGACCCGGGTTTGATTCCCCACATGGGTACAATGTGTGAAGCCCATTTCTGGTGTCCACCTGCCGTGATATTGGTGGAATATTGCTAAAAGCGGCGTTAAACCAAAAGTCACTCACTCACTCACTATTATCATATCCCATCACCCCTTGACAGTGGTTCGACTATCCCGTGATTATTTAAATGGTGCTGTGAAATATCCAGAATCTTACTGACAGTGTCCAGCAACAATCTCTCTTTCACAATGTATGAATACCAGATTGGAGGTGTGCCTAGTGGCTGCAAGAGTTGTATACTCCCCAAGGAGTTGAGATTGATAATTGGATGTGCTGTTGAAATTGACATCCAATGATTGAGGAAAACAACCAGCGCCTTGAGCATGCACTAGTTGTGTGGATATGTGCGCTATATAAATATCCTATAATAATAATAATAATAATAATAATAATTTTGTGAATTTGTCATCACGCTGTTGCATTTCGTTATTGAAACATTAATTACATGATTTACATCAACAGATAATTTTCATGCAGAATGTATGGGTGAAAAGTTGTTTGATTGGCATAATACACATGTGGCATTTGTTTCCAATAATGGTAATACTCACAATATATATTTTATTATATGATTGATATGTTTGTATTAGTTGTTTTATTTCCATGTGCATGGTTGTCAAATATTTATGGGAAGGATGCTCTGACTTGTTTATTTCATGTCACATTGCTCACAGAACATAATAATGATAATAATAATAGTAATATATGCTATGAAGGAAGTAGGATTTACATCACGTAAGATTACTGGATAAAAGCAAAATATAAATATTTATAAAAAATACGTCAGACAATGTTGACTCTCAAATCAGTTCAGTTTAAATTTAATTTCAGTTTTGAGCAAAGGATAAATAGATGTTCAGTGCCCAACACCTTAGATTAGTGATTGTTCTATCTGTGTTTTGTTACAAAGTTTAATATTTTTTGTTGATGTGTACATTTCAATTTGAAATTGACACAGAATTGTTTGTGATCAAAATACTTTTCAGTGTCATGTGATATCCTCAGTGTGTTGTGCTGATATTTACAGACAATTCTTGCATTTAATGATTAATCAAATTCTCATGCTCACATAATAAAATATAAGATTTACAGTTTTATTTTGACATGCATGAACTAAACTGCCTGGCAAGGGAAAATATACGTCGGAAAATTGGACTTGACAAAAATAAATTACAGCCATTATGAAAACTTAACCAGGCTGAAACAGTTGGTGACTTAAGGATCAAAACCCAGCTGTTATACCTATATCAACTACATAACCATTGAATAACTGTTTCTTGTTTGTCTACTGTAGTCATCATCCAACATGGACGTATACTTTCTTTTGCCCTTCAGTGTATCAGCTGTCTTCAGTGTCTTGGTAGGTGGTAGGTTTAAAGTGTGATACATATGATGTGAGCTGCAGGTTTGAAATGTACAACAAACATGGATATACAAGTTGTTTGTCCCTTTCTCACTGAAGCGGCTGTGGAAACTCTGAAACAGTTTTATTTAACATAATCAAATTAAGGATGTCAAGTGAGCCTAGAAATATGAAGATGTATTCCTTTTTCAGACAGTTGTTGACAGTTCATGTCAGTTGTGTAAAATGTACATGTGGGAAATGATTAAGTATCACTTACTATGTATTTCATTTGAAATGGAATTTTTAAGCTGTATCTTGGATTTGTTCTCTGACAAAATTCAATGTTTGTTTACCAAGTGCCTACCAATATTAACATACAGAAATTGATCAGGTAATCAGGTTTTGTATGTGTTCAGTGACAATACAATCTAAGACTTGTTTCACTGCCTTTAGCCCCTGGAGACACAGATGGTGTTGGTATAATAATGGCTGTTTATAAAGCACTTGTTTCCATGCACTTGTGCATGCTCAGTGCACTAACACATTACCCTGGATTACCCAAGCTGCTTGCTAACAGTCATATGACTAATCCCACCGGGTACCCCTGGAGACACAGATGGTGTCCGTATAATAATGGCTGTTAATAAAGCACCTGTTTCCATGCACTTGTGCATGCTCAGTGCACTAACACATTACCCTGGATTACCCAAGCTGCTTGCTAACAGTCATATGACTAATCCCACCGGGTACCCCTGGAGTCACTGATGGTGTCGGTGTAATAATGGCTGTTTATAAAGCACCTGTTTCCATGCACTTGTGCATGCTCAGTGCATACACATTAACTAAACCGGCACCCCTGGAGTCACTGATGGCTAAAGCACCTGTTTCCATGCACTTGTGCATGCTCAGTGCACTAACACATACCCTGGATTAGCAGCTGCTGCTAACAGTCATATGACTAATCCCACCGGGTACCCCACACTGATGGTGTCGGTATAATAATGGCTGTTTATAAAGGCACTGTTTCCAACACATTGCATGCTCAGTCACACTAACACATTACCTTGGATAACCCAAGCTGCTTGCTAACAGTCATATGAGTTGTCCCACCGGGTACCCATTCACTGCTTGGTGAACAGAAGCAATTTATGAACAAACTCACTCGCCTAAGGTGAGATCACATTTGTCACATGTGCTTAGTTCTGGTGGAGGACTCAAGTCCCAGAAACACTCAGCACCTGTATACAGGGGTGGAAATAACCCATTGCCCGACGTCCGAGTTCAGTGTTTTTTTCTGTCGGGCAAGCAAATTTGTATATCACACTGTACCAGTGTCCAGTTGACTTTCCAATATTAATTATGTTGTTAATTTAAAAATCAACAAGAAAACGGCCAGTACAGTGGAAAAATTATCAGGGCAAGTGATTTTACATGTGCCACTGTACCGAAGTACACTAGCAATTTTAAAGTTATTTCCACCCCTGGTATCGCAGACACTTATCAAAATGAGATCAATATGTTACATAGATATTTTCATGTAACCCATGACGTTTATGAAAATAGAGAATACTAATATATGGCATACATGATGCTTAACTATTTTCCTTGTGTATATGTGGTATTCAGTCTGAACTAGTCATTGTTGTGAATCAGTAATTCATCGTGGTTGAATTCACAATGAAACCCTGTTAATCCAGTCTTTTCTGTACCCACTTAATATATATTGATTAGTAGATTTTGTATGGATGAATGAATCATCTTTGTTGTTTGACTATGAATGTGGAATATTTCAGTTTCAATATGGTGGTCTTTATATAATGGAGTCTGGACCACACAATCCTGTGACTAACAGCATGACCATCCATCTGTTGAATTGGGATACGATGACATGCTATTGGTGAGCTTGTCCAGCTGATCCTGTTAGTCATGACAAGCATGGGTGACTGACCAGATCCAACCTGGATCATGACAGGATGAGTGAATCATGTCTTTTGTATATATACATGTGTGAAGCAGTACCGGACCAAGATTGTCCAGAAAGCAGGGTTTCCAGATTGTCAGGGTCCGGGCTAACAGGGTTTCACTATTCTTGCTTAGCTTGGTGCTACTTGCATATCAAATAATGATGCTTATTACGTGGAGCTTTAATGTACAGAACTATATTTTGTATGTTTGTATTTGCTGACCTCAAACTGTGAAACCTCTTTAAAGTGGACATATGTCAATACAAACTCTATGTGAGGTGGATGTTTGGTTTAACCAAACATGGAAGTGACTGGGGTAATTCCTTCTATGTTTCAGTGTCTGATTTACTGCTGGAATATTGCTGTTTGGTTTTCCAAGGTTTCTGGGGCACTCATGTCCAGATTAATGAGGTTTCACAGTGTGTTATCCCTTTTGTATTTCTAGAAGTTATCACCATGGTGCATAAAAGGGGAAGTTTTACGCGAAAATCAACCTTTTTGTGTTGTTTTGATTCAAACGCTTAAATAAATGATTTTTGAGTGTGGACTTCCCCTTTTGACAAGTGTGTAGCTAGACTTTGCTGGGCTATACTGTTTTGTTGTTTTGCCTAACTAGAAAAGCTGTAATAATGCTCCCTTGTATGCCAGATGTCAGCAGTATCGTGATGAATTGTTAACTGTACTGGCAAATATCATACAGGATTGTATTTCTCCACAACGGTTCTGAATGGTTCAAGAGATGTTTGGCATAATGTCACCATCACCATAATACACTCAATATCACAACCTGTTTAGAAGTTTGTAGATCATAGCTCCTGTCTTCCTTGAGAGGTATAAGTATTATGGGATTAAACTGGCCTTCAGATGGACCCTGTAGGCTGAAATTATCAACTTTCAGAATATTGCAGTTCACAGAAATATGTGACAATTTGAAACTGTATGATTAATTTCAACTGGGGGAGCTTACCGTATTTCCTCCAATTGACACACATACTTCTCAAGACACCAAAGTGGAACAATAAATGCCAGGGTGTGATTGTGAGTCATAAATGTGTGAAAACATGGTGAGACTTCCTCTAATAGACATTTTTATGTGTCTGAGAGGACATTTAGCAACACAAAGAGGAGCGAGTCGTCTTCACCCCTGTTCACTGATTCCAGTATCAAAATTTTATGTCCTGCAGAATTTGTAGACTTGTGGGAACAATGATAACAGTCTGTTTGACAAAATTATGACAGTGATACGAGAACATGTACTTCAAACCTGTACTTCAAACCTGTACTTCAAACCTGTACTTCAAACCTGTACTTCAAACCTGTACTTCAAACCTGTACTTCAAACCTGTACTTCAAACCTGTACTTCAAACCTGTACTTCAAACCTGTACTTCAAACCTGTACTTCAAACCGAGGAATGAAATCCCGAAACTTTCACCTCGTGGTGTCAGACTTAAAATTCCAGTTGATGTCTCAGTGGATCATACTGTAACAACACATGACATCAGATTACTTCCCCACCTACTGGAGTGATGGTGTAGCCTAGAGGTAAAAGTGCTTGCTCAGTGCCAAAAATCTGGGTTTGTTTCCCCACATGATTACAATATGTGCAGACCATTTCTGGTGTCCTTTGCCGCGATATTGCTGAAATATTGCTAAAAGCGGTGTATAATGGCGTCACCGCCAAGTTATTTGTATGTATAATTTGTTAATGTCTATTTTGATACAGCCTCACTTTCCTTGCACCAAAGAAGATACCGGTACTTACATTACAGGCATATATTTGTGCCCCTTTCTCAGATATATTCCTGACACAGACTTGTTGTGTAAAATTACGGATTAAATACATTTTATATGATTATTGTTGTGAGAAAGTTTGACATGACAGATGGTCAGTTGTCTCTGTTATACAGGATTTCTTGATCAACCTATTAAATGTAAAATCAAATATTTCTAATAATTTGCCCATAATATGGTCTCAGCTGATCTACCAAAGTTTTGGAAGGTTTACACAGTAGACACACAGCACTGCCTTCCTGTATTCATTATATTACACCAAGTTCTCCATGTCAGAACTTGACAACTGACAGTTTTAAATTAAACAAAAAGCAACAACTACATTAAAATCAAGGCATCAACCTTACTTCGTTAATACATCTCATGTTCGGGGCGGTGGGGTAGCCCAGTGGTTAAAGCGTTGGCTCGTCACGCCGAAGACCCGGGTTCGATAGCCCACATGGGTACAATGTGTGAAGCCCATTTCTGGTGTTCCCCGCCATGATGTTGCTGGAATATTGCTAAAAGCGGCGTAAAACCAAACTCAGTCAGTCATCTCATGTTCCTGGGTTCCAAACAAAAGAAAAAAAAAGCTGGGGATATACTGAGGTAAACAAATAAGCTGGTGATGGAAACTGGAAAATATTAAAGGAACACGTGAATTTTGCCCTGTGTTCCTTTATTTATTTCTCTCAGTATATTTCCATAAAGCTGTGTGCTGTGTTCACACACAAAAATGACCCAAAAATATTCATGACCGCAACATTTTTTGATCAGTATATGTATATCATATGGGTGAATGATACTTTGAAATGATAAATCCAAAACCATTTGAAAAGGACTTACTGTTATTGTTTAGGATTTGTTTCCAGATTTATTCCATCGGAACATGACTGTTTTCTCTGTAGTTCCATGTGTTGTTGATTATCTAGAGTTAAGGTTGCTTGTTTGATGTTGAGAAACACCAGTGTTCTGTGTCCGCTACATGTTGCCTCTTTGTAGCCCAATTCTCATTTTCTGGCATATTTTGACCAATGTTGATCTATTTTTCACCAAATGAATAAAAGATATGAATATACATACATTGTCTTTGTCATCATTTACTGTCTCAGGATGGATTGATTGTTCAACACCGCACTTGGCAATATTCCAGCTACCTATATGGTGGCGGTCTGTAAATAATCATGTCTGGACCAGACAATCCAGTAATTATAAGCATCGCTCTACGCTCTAAGTTTCTACTGCAATTGGGATATGATGACACCCCCTTAGTTGCCTCTTACTACAAGCAGGAGTTGTGGAAAACCAATTCTAAACTGGAACAGTCATGGGAACAGTCACAGGAAGAGTGGGTGTTTGCTGAACCACACTCACCAATATTCTAGCTATATGAATATACATACATTGTCTTTGTCATCGTTCACTGTGCCAGGATGGATTGATTGTTGTTTAACACCGCACTCAGCAATATTCCAGCTATATGGCGGTGGTCTGTAAATAATCATGTCTGGACCACACAATCCAGTGATCATGAGCATTGATCTATCAAATGGGATAAGATGACATCCCGTTAGTTGCCTCTTACGACAAGCAGGGGTTGCTGAAGACCAGTTCTAACTGGATCTTCTGAAGACCAGTTCTAACCAGATCTTCACAGTGGTTGCTGAAGACCAGTTCTAACCGGATCTTCACAGGGGCTGCTGAAGACCAGTTCTAGCCCGGTCACAATCAGCCAGGTCCATGACAGTACAATGTCACACAATCAGCCAGATCCATGATGGTACAATGTCACACAATCAGTCAGATCCATGACAATGTCACACAATCAAATGTCTGGACCAGAAAACCCAGTGATTGATGGTAAAATCAGCCAGATCCATGATGGTACAATGTCACACAATCAGCCAGATCCATGATGGTACAATGTCACACAATCAGCCAGATCCATGATGGTACAATGTCACACAATCAGCCAGATCCATGATGGTACAATGTCACCACAATCAGCCAGATCCATGAGAGAACAATGTCACACAATCAGCCAGATCCATGATGGTACAATGTCACACAATCACACAATCAGTCAGATCCATGATGGTACAATGTCACACAATCAGTCAGATCCATGATGGTACAATATCAGCCAGACAATGTCACACAATCAGCCAGATCCATGATCCATGATAACAATGTCACAGCCAGATCCATGAATCAGCCAGATCCATGATGGTACAATGTCACACAATCAGTCAGATCCATGATGGTACAATGTCACACAATCAGCCAGATCCATGATGGTACAATGTCACACAATCAGCCAGATCCATGATGGTACAATGTCACACAATCAGCCAGATCCATGATGGTACAATGTCACATAATCAGCCAGATCCATGATGGTACAATGTCACACAATCAGCCAGATCCATGATGGTACAATGTCACACAATCAGCCAGATCCATGATGGTACAATGTCACACAATCAGTCAGATCCATGATGGTACAATGTCACACAATCAGCCAGATCCATGATGGTACAATGTCACACAATCAGCCAGATCCATGATGGTACAATGTCACACAATCAGCCAGATCAATCAGCCAGATCCATGATGGTACAATGTCACACAATCAACCAGATCCATGATGGTACAATGTCCCACAATCAGCCAGATCCATGATGGTACAATGTCACACAATCAGCCAGATCCATGATGGTACAATGTCACACAATCAAGCCAGATCCATGATGGTACAATGTCACACAATCAGCCAGATCCATGATGGTACAATGTCAGCCAGGTTAGTGAGTGGTCACAATGGGGTAGGATGTCTGTGGTATTTTGGCAACCCAGTGTGAGGTGCAGACAAGGTTGGTTGGTTGGATTATTGTTTAACACAGCACTCAGCAATATTCCAGCTATATGGCGGGCGTCTGTAAATAATCGAGTCTGGACCAGACAATCCAGTTATCAACAGCATGAGTATCGATCTGCGCAATTGGGAACCGATGACATGTGTCAACCAAGTCAGCGAGCCTGACCACCCGATCCCGTTAGTGGCCTCTTACGACAAGCATGGGTTACTGAAGGTTCATTCTAATCCGGACCTTCACGGGTCTCTTTAATCTGAATTCTTTGATGCTGTACATAGCACATGTCTATATTTATGTAAGGCCCAACAGCTACGAGAAACTTACTCAATTACTTCACTGGCGTATGCATGATTCATGTAACCAAACATTGCCTGTAGTATAGGCGTATGGTTTTCTTAATGAATAAACCGTCTGTCTGTCTGATTGACTGGGTTTCTGTCTGTCTGTCTGTCTGACTGACTGGGTTTTGTCTGGCTGGCTGGCTGGCTGTCTGACTGACTGACTGGGTTTCTGTCTGTCTGGCTGGCTGGTTGTCTGACTGACTGGATTTCTGTCTGTCTGTCTGGGCGTGGATCCTGAAAATAAACCCATGATTCTTGGAAGGTTCTTTTACTGGATTGTGTATATTTTGACATTATACGAGGTATAAATAGTCACCTGCGCATGCACACTATCGAGGAATGTTAAGAGTTATCTCTGAATAATGTTTTCCGACTCTTAACTTATAAACTGTCTAAATTTATCACATAGACATGAACGGGTAGCGTAAAGAAAGACAGAAATCTACTTAAGACGTCCGAGTATCATGTGTATTCTGAACTTATAAATACGACACGACAATAATAATAAATAATAATAAATGGATATCTCTTGTGCGCCATGGTCCACCCAGAGCATGCTCAAAGCGCTACATATGAAAGAGTCTCCAGAGTTCATGAGGACAATATGACATTTCCTCAAAAATACCATCAGAATATTTGGCAGTTATTGGTTGTAGAATGTTTTGAAGAGGTAAGTTTTGAGTCCCGACCTGAATGCTTCTAAGGACGAAGCATTTTTGATGGAAGAAGGAAGACTGTTCCACAGGGTTGATGCTTCAAATTTTAAATGATCTTGATCTTTATTCTGAGAGCGGAGAGAACGGGCAGGCATATATGTTGACAACATCTCAGAGAGGTGTGGAGGAGCTAGGCTGTGTCTGCAGCGGAAAACTGAGAACTCAATTCTGGCTTAACTGGCAGAAATGCATTGAATATATACTACTCACACTTTGCTAAGGATCACAAAAATTCACAACTTTACTTAACGTAGATTCATAATTTGAGAAATTGTTTCCACTTAAAACTGGATAAATAATACTGTGGTAACCCCTCTTTAGGCAAACAGTCACTTTAATCTAGCCTTATGCACCTGATACATGAGTAACCATCAAAATGGTTTTCATGGCACCAGTCAACCATTTGGAAATCATGGAATGAGTCATTGACAAGTACACAACACCTGTCAATAGCAGGTATGGGTTCCACAAGATGCAATGACATACTGAAACCTAGGATCCATGCTTACAATAAGCTTAGATATTTAAACCAAATTTGAACCCACATCATAGTTTTCTTTGATCCTTAGCAAAGTGTGAATAGTATACATTTAATGTGACGAATATCAGTCAAGTACGAGAAACGGCGCGACAACTGAAAATTGCCAAACCTGTTCCCCCCCTGTAAAATACACGTGCTGTTTAGATGTTTCAATTACGTTGAGGATCACCTTGTCATATTTTCACTATAATATAACACGCATAAACATCAAATCAGCTGTTTGTTTTCATCGCTGCCCCTGTGATAGTTTGTAAATGTAATTTTTTCCAGCGCATTGAGCATGCACTAGTTGCCTGGATATGTGCGCTATGTAAATATCCTATAATAATAATAATAATAATAGTTTGCAGCTGTTATTACTGAATTCTCATGTCTTTTGTACAATTGAATCCTGCGTTATCCTTTCAAAACAGAACCCGTTAAGATCCAATTTAGAATTGATCCCATGCTTGTCGAAAGAGGCGACTAACGGAATCGGGTGGTCAGGCTCGCTGACTTGGTTGACACATGTCATCGTATCCCAATTGCGTAGATCGATGCTCATGCTGTTGATCACTGGATTGTCTGGTCCAGACTCGATTATTTTCAGACCGCCGTCATATAGCTGGAATATTGCTGAATGCGGCGTAAAACTAAACTCACTCACTCACGCAAAACAGAAAGGATACAGGATATGAATACCTATGGTGTACATAAATTACGCTGGGTCTCTAATTATACATTTGTCCTGAAATCGGGTTAAATATTACTCCAGAGCAACCAGGTATAAGAAACTTTAAAATTGCCGAAAATGTAAATGTATAAAATGTATGAGTGTTTCTCGGACACATCTTCAGCTGTATTGTGAATATTATGTTTGTGAACAAAATAATAAAATACATGAATCATCGTAAGTGACATTAGTGGGCGGTGGGGTAGCCCAGTGTTAAAAGCGTTCGCTTGTCATGCCGTAGACCCGGGTTCGATTCCTCACATGACTACAACGCGTGAAGCTCATTTCTGGTGTTCCCCGCCGTGCTATTGCTGGAAGATTGCTAAAAGCCGCGTAAAACTAAACTTACTTACTCAAGTAATGAAAGTCAACAAATGTAAGACTTTGAACTAGTAGGTGCCAACGTGAAGCGGATTTGCAGACTGGAATTCATTTTGCGTTCAGCGAATGCCGAAAAGTGAGTGAGTGAGTGAGTTTAGTTTTACGCCGCACTCAGCAGTATTTCAGCTATATGGCTGCGGTCTGTAAATAATCGAGTCTGGACCAGACAATCCAGTGATCAACAGCATGAGCAGCGATCTAAACAATTGGGATACGATGGCATGTGTCAACCAAGTCAGCGAGCCTGACCACCCGATCCCTAACGACAAGCATGTGTTACTGAAGATCAATTCTAACCCGGATCTTCACGGGTGAATGCCGATAAGAAAAAAAGTATAAGTATCCTTGAAATGTTTGGCTTTTATGATAAACTCGTGTGCAGATTTAACACTGTCCATGTTGTTTGAGTTACGCAACGAAGTATTTCCGTATAAAACTGCGTCAGTGAGTTATAACCTTCAATGTAAAAAGACATATTTTCCTAATAACATGATATTTCCGACATGTGAATAGATAATCTAGGGCGTCTTCAGTGATAACAACATGAAGAGGTAGATGTTTAGGAAATGTGTCTATTGTTAAACTCATCAGCATTTAGATCACTGCAGCACAGCCTGAGGCGACTGTGAATAAACTGAAGATTTATGGAAAATCTGTCACGTGTTTGGTCCAACTTGACCTGTGATAATCAGCTTAAACGTCGCAGCTGCATTATCAAATGTGTTCTCAGTGACAAAGATCGTGGTATATAAAACTCAAAGTCAAGCCATTTTACCTATACGCAAAACTATCAGAAGTGTTCAGTCCGACTTTGCCCTGAAATACAATCGTGACACACGTGTGATTTTAGAAACGTTTAACTGTCCGGTTCAAGGGAGACAGGAGGCGGTGTGGTAGCCCAGTGGTTAAAGAGTTCGCTCGTAACGCTGAAGACCCGGGTTCGATTCCCCACATGGGTACAGAGTGTGAAGCTCATTTCTGGTGTCCATCGCCGTGATATTGCTGGAATATTGCTAAAAGCGACGTAAGACTAAACACATTCACTCAATGCGGACAGACCACATATTAACACACTTTCGATAGAGGCCATATTATATGAAACTCTAATGCATGAAATGCATGCACAAATGTTCGTCATAGAATTTTTCAAACAGGAGAAGGAGGGAAGTGAAGGAAAGCTACATTTTTCACTAAACGAGGGTCTACTCAAAATAACACGATTTGTGACACTGTAAAGTAGTATTTACTGTTCTGCACGATCATGTCGATAGATTTGATGGCATATGTGACGTTTGAACAATGTATAAAAAAGATAGTACAGACAAGGAGTTGACAGCAATTAAAACTGTACGTGATAAACTGTATATCATGTCCAGGTGAGGTGGTCCCCAAACCAATGGGGACATGCGTCCTTCGACCTTAGTTATGGATCAGTGGAAATATTCCGTCACTGGATAGTCTACTGGGAATGAGATATATAGCATGTATGTCACTCACTACCATGTCGAAAGTTCAGCAAATGAAAGATGTTCATTATTTATTTTTAAAATTTCTTTTCTACAATGAGCATCTAATCAGCTAATGTGGACACATAACAGCAAGAAATCGCTTTATAATGATAGTGTCTATGCGATGTGATTTGGTAATGTTGATAGTATTATGTCTTGTTACTGTTGGTTTGTTGATATCATAATACGTCCTTTTGATGATGTATTTTTGTTTGAATGTTGGTCTTGTCTTATTTCCCTTTTTGGTGGGTAAATTAGGTGGAATGAATTGTCCAGTTGAACATTTTGTATTTAGCATCGGTATACATGTACGTTATTTCCCCTTTATAATAATTTGAATATTAAACGGTTACAATATTGCAACAAAAGTGAGACGTTTTGTTGTGTTGGCAGTGTATGGCAAAACCAAAAACTGGACACCTACACCACGATAAGGTCCAGCACATCCCATTTCCGTTGACAAAACAGTTCTCCTAGAAAGCATAACACTCCCATAATCAACAAAAACAAAACAAAAACAAGTACAATTGGATCAGCTGTGCGGTTCACGGCTTTTTAATGTCATCATTCCCAACATGGCACAATACCAAATTCTCTATTTGCACGAACATAAACAACACACACTGCGAAAAACCACCGACATTTGGCGGTTGCTGCACAGTATGTAAGTATATTTTAGACGTACATTTGAAAACGGTCAATGGTAGCTGAAGCCCGACACGTAAAACCAGAGATAAAACATTTTTGAGAAAAAACTCTGGAACCGTGTTCCCTCAACGTATGCATCACTACCTCCTCTACTGGAGGGTTTACAGTAGCAGACACACACAATACATTGTCACAAAATATATCAACAGTTAAACATACACATAATGCAGCCAACGAACACACACACGTGAGCAGCATTTCCACTCCTTCCCATGAAACAGGACATGGATAAGTGATGAACAATGAGAACACTGCATAACCAGCTATGTTGCTTGTACAAAATCCAGTTATCCTTTCCTGATATCCGTACACGTGGGACACATGGGTCACATACACAACAGAGGATATACATGTGTGTACATGGCCGGAGATGGATACAGCTACAGATTCATTGAACTCCAGCTCCCAGAGTTGGGGAGTGCACACATCTTCATCCTGGATCCAGGCTTTGTCCTCCTTAAAGTGGACCGCTTCACGCCTGCGTCCTCCTTAAAGTGGACCGCTCCATGCCCGCTCCATGCCTGCGTCCTCTTTAAAGTGGACCGCTCCATGCCTGCGTCCTCCTAAAAGTGGACCGCTCCACGCCTGCGTCCTCCTTAAAGTGGACCGCTCCATGCCTGCGTCCTCCTTTGCAAGAGCACCTAGCATCCGTTTGGCGAGATGGTCACGGAGGAGGGAGGGGCCCAGCGCGCACATACAGACGTCCATGTGTCTGAAACATCATGGACAAGCATCATGAATTAAACTTCTCACTTATGTAGAGGTGTTACAAGTAAAGGTAAAGAATATTTCACACTGATACTCACTACACTGATTATAACAGGAAATCCTAGCTCGTGAAAAACAAGTTTTAACCTGAATATCGAACTGAAATATTGCAATACTTTACCAGCTGGCGGCCCCAGTCGGCCAGTACACTGCATCCCAAAGTGACCATGCGGGACTTGCTCTGTCTGGGAACTACCTACTGAAGGAATAGATGGTGGGTAAGCACTAAGTTATGTCATCTGTATGACAGCATCATGCAGGGCATGCATGAGGGGTCCCTATCTAGCCTAACACCTGAAATCTACCAGTCAAGTGCAGTCAGCATTTGGCTTACTGGGGGATGCTGAGAAAGACGTGGAGCCACAGAGTGTAACAGCCCTAACTAGCTGGTATGTTGCTGCAACAACCTTCCTGACTGGACAGCCAGGCCCTAGCACCGAACCTACTCCACAGTACAGTCGGCGGGGACCTACGCGAAAGCGGAGAGACTGTGGAGCCACCATTAGACAAAAACTCGTCCCATCAGTCTCTCGGAAAAGCAGTGTACTGAAGTCCGTGGGTGGAGGGACGCAACAGCAAATCCAGAATGTACCAGGGTTCCCGCGTCTGAAAGAAATGAGTCATGCATAATCATCAGGAATCACACTTCGCAGGTATGTAGATTTGTTTAATAACAGTGAGTAAATGTGGTTTTATGCCGCTTTAGCAATATTCCAACTGGGGACCTCAGAAGTGGGCGTGACACATAGTACCTAAGTGGGGAATCGAACCCTGGCACTCGGCATGGCGAGTCAACACCTTAACCACCAGTCAACACCACCTCCACGTTTATATGCAGGAAATAGTACCGCCATATACTGGCAGATAATATTGTTGAGTGAGGTATTAAAGACAACAAAAATCTTTACCTGTGACACCTTGTGCCAGGGAATTGATATATGATGTCATATATTGTTTATATTTCTTCACCTCTACATACAGTTTGAGTGGTACAGCCGTTTTTGCTGTGAATACTGCTGAAATAGTGCGATCTGCCAATTAATTTATGAAAGACTTCGACAGAAATAGTGTTAATTTTGAATACTTGCGATCCACCATACCCATCCATCTCAACATGTCTGTATACTTTGAGGAAATACGTGTGCACCATATATACAAAGAACATTATCGGGAACAAGCATGTCTTCCTCAAAGGGGTGTTTCAAAAATCTTACCTGCCCAGTCCTATGTCTGCTTCTTGGCAGTCGTCCTGCTTTCAAAAGAGTTCTTGCACCATTTCTGCCAGTGGGATATCTTTTTGGCAGTTGGCCTGCCTCTGAGGAACCTCAACGTCCACTTGCCTCCAAATGTCTTCTTAGCAGTAGTCTGGATCCAAAAGAGTACTTGCTTCACTTCTGCCTGTGGGATATCTTCTTGGCAGTCGGCCTTTTTATGAAGGATTTCTAGGTCCACTTCTGCCTCCAGGACGTGATTTAGGTAGTAAAATGCTACTCTCTTTACAGGATGTCTTCTTGGCAGTCGGCATGCCTCCAGAAGAGTACTGCCTATGGAATATCTTCTTCGCAGTCGGCCTGATTATGAAGGATTTCAAGGTCCACTTCTACCCCAATGACGGCTTCTCAGTATTAAAATGCCACTATGGTTGACGGGATGTCTTCTTGGCAGTCAGTAAGCCTCCAGAAGAGTACTTGATCCAGATCTGCATATGGAATATCTTCTTGGCAGTTGGCCTGATTATGAAGGATTTCAAGGTCCACTTCTACCCCAATGACGGCTTCTCAGTAGTAAAATGCCACTATGGTTTACGGGATGTCTTCTTGGCAGTCAGTAAGCCTTCTGAAGAGTACATGATCCAGATCTGCATATGGAATATCTTCTTGGCAGTTGGCCTTATTATGAAGGATTTCATGGTCCATCTCTAACCCCAATGACGGCTTCTTAGTAGTAAAATGCCACTATGGTTTATGAGATGTCTTCTTTGGCAGTCGGCAAGCCTCCAGAAGAGTACTTGATCCAGAGATCTTGGCATATGGAATAACTTCTTGGGTGTTGGCCTGCTATTGAAGGATTTCAAGGTCCACTTCTGCCACCAGGACGTCTTCTTAGTAGTGACAAAATGCCGCCTCTGTTTATGAGATGTCTTCTTGGCAGTCGGCAAGCCTCCAGAAGAGTACTTGATCCAGATCTGCAATATGGAATATCTTCTTGGCAGTTGGCCTGCCTATGGAGGATTTCAAGGTCCACTTCTGCCACCAGGACGTCTTCTTAGTAGTAAAATGCCACTCTGGTTTACGGATGTCTTCTTGGCAGTCAGCAAGCCTCCAGAAGAGTACTTGATCCAGATCTGCATATGGAATATCTTCTTGGCAGTTGGCCTGCCTCTGAAGGATGGTTTTCAAGGTCCACTTCTGCCACCAGGACGTCTTCTTAGTAGTAAAATGCCACTCTGTTTATGAGATGTCTTCTTGGCAGTCGGCAAGCCTCCAGAAGAGTACTTGATCCAGATCTGCATATGGAATATCTTCTTGGCAGTTGGCCTGCCTCTGAGGGATTTCAAGGTCCACTTCTGCCACCAGGACGTCTTCTTAGTAGTAAAATGCCGCTCTGTTTATGAGATGTCTTCTTGGCAGTCGGCAAGCCTCCAGAAGAGTACTTGATCCAGATCTGCCTATGGAATATCTTCTTGGCAGTCGGTCTGTGTATGAAGTATTTCAAGGTCCACTTCTACCCCCAGGACGTCTTCTTAGTAGTAAAATGCCGCTCTGTTTATGAGATGTCTTCTTGGCAGTCGGCAAGCCTCCAGAAGAGTACTTGATCCAGATCTGCCTATGGAATATCTTCTTGGCAGTTGGCCTGCCTCTGAGGGATTTCAAGGTCCACTTCTGCCGCTCTTTTTAGGACGTCTTCTTAGTAGAAAAATGCCGCTCCTGTTTATGAGATGTCTTCTTGGCAGTCGGCAAGCCTCCAGAAGAGTACTTTGATCCAGATCTGCATATGGAATATCTTCTTGGCAGTTGGCCTGCCTCTGAGGGATTTCAAGGTCCACTTCTGCCACCAGGACGTCTTCTTAGTAGTAAAATGCCGCTCTGTTTATGAGATGTCTTCTTGGCAGTCGGCAAGCCTCCAGAAGAGTACTTGATCCAGATCTGCATATGGAATATCTTCTTGGCAGTTGGCATGCTATTGAAGGATTTCAAGGTCCACTTCTGCCACCAGGACGTCTTCTTAGTAGTAAAATGCCGATCTGTTTATGAGATGTCTTCTTGGCAGTCGGCAAGCCTCCAGAAGAGTACTTGATCCAGATCTGCCTATGGAATATCTTCTTGGCAGTTGGCCTGCCTCTGAGGGATTTCAAGGTCCACTTCTGCCACCAGGACGTCTTCTTAGTAGAAAAATGACAACCTCTTTACGGTTTGTCTTCTTGGCAGTCGGCAAGCCTCCAGAAGAGTACTTGATCCAGATCTGCCTATGGAATATCTTCTTTGCAGTCGGTCTGTGTATGAAGTATTTCAAGGTCCACTTCTACCCCCAGGACGTCTTGTTAGTAGTAAAATGCCGCTCTGTTTATGAGATGTCTTCTTGGCAGTCGGCAAGCCTCCAGAAGAGTACTTGATCCAGATCTGCCTGTGGAATATCTTCTTGGCAGTTGCCCTGCCTCTGAGGGATTTCAAGGTCCACTTTTGCCACCAGGACGTCTTCTTAGTAGTAAAATGCCGCTCTGTTTATGAGATGTCTTCTTGGCAGTCGGCAAGCCTCCAGAAGAGTACTTGATCCAGATCTGCATATGGAATATCTTCTTGGCAGTAGGCCTGCCTCTGATGGATTTCTAGGTCCACTTCTGCCACCAGGACGTCTTCTTAGTAGTAAAATGCCGCTCTGTTTATGAGATGTCTTCTTGGCAGTCGGCAAGCCTCCAGAAGAGTACTTGATCCAGATCTGCATATGGAATATCTTCTTGGCAGTCGGTCTGCCTGCCTATGAGGGATTTCAAGGTCCACTTCTACCACCAGGACGTCTTCTTAGTAGAAAAATGCCGCTCTGTTTACGAGATGTCTTCTTGGCAGTCGGCAAGCCTCCAGAAGAGTACTTGATCCAGATCTGCCTATGGAATATCTTCTTGGCAGTTGGTCTGCCTATGAGGTATTTCAAGGTCCACTTTTGCCACCAGGACGTCTTCTTAGTAGTAAAATGCCAATGTGTTTATGAGATGTCTTCTTGGCAGTCGGCAAGCCTCCAGAAGAGTACTTGATCCAGATCTGCATATGGAATATCTCCTTGGCAGTTTGCCTGCCTCTGAGGGATTTCTAGGTCCACTTCTGCCACCAGGACGTCTTCTTAGTAGTAAAATGCCGCTCTGTTTATGAGATGTCTTCTTGGCAGTCGGCAAGCCTCCAGAAGAGTACTTGATCCAGATCGGCCTGTGGAATAATTTCTTGGTTGTTGGCCTGCTATTGAAGGATTTCAAGGTCCACTTTTGCCACCAGGACGTCTTCTTAGTAGTAAAATGCCGCTCTGTTTATGGGATGTCTTCTTGGCAGTCTGCAAGCCTCCCTGATCTGCATATGGAATATGTCTGACAGTTTGCCTGCGTCCAGGTCCACTTCTGCCACCAGGACGTCTTCTTAGTAGTAAAATGCCGCTCTGTTTATGAGATGTCCTCTTGGCAGTCGGAAAGCCTTCAGAAGAGTACTTGATCCTGATCTGCCTATCGAAATCTTCTTGGCAGTTGGTCTGCCTCGTAGGGATTTCAAGGTCCACTTCTGCCACCAGGACGTCTTCTTAGTAGAAGAATGACAACCTCTTTACGGTTTGTCTTCTTGGCAGTCGCCAAGCCTCCAGAAGAGTACTTGATCCAGATCTGCATATGGAATATCTTCTTTGCAGTCGGTCTGTGTATGAAGTATTTCAAGGTCCACTTTTGCCACCAGGACGTCTTCTTAGTAGTAAAATGCCAATGTGTTTATGAGATGTCTTCTTGGCAGTCGGCAAGCCTCCAGAAGAGTACTTGATCCTGATCTGCATATGGAATATCTCCTTGGCAGTTTGCCTGCCTCTGAGGGATTTCTAGGTCAACTTCTGCCACCAGGACGTCTTCTTAGTAGTAAAATGCCGCTCTGTTTATGAGATGTCTTCTTGGCAGTCGGCAAGCCTCCAGACTTCTGCCCCCAGGAGAGTACTTGATCCAGATCTGCATATGGAATATCTTCTTGGCAGTAGGCCTGCCTCTGAGGGATTTCAAGGTCCACTTCTGCCACCAGGACGTCTTCTTAGTAGTAAAATGCCGCTCTGTTTATGAGATGTCTTCTTGGCAGTCGGCAAGCCTCCAGAAGAGTACTTGATCCAGATCTGCCTATAGAATATCTTCTTGGCAGTAGGCCTGCCTCTGAGGGATTTCAAGGTCCACTTCTGCCACGAGGACGTCTTCTTACTAGTAAAAATGCCGCTCTTTTTATGAGATGTCTTCTTGGCCTCTTCCAGAAGAGTACTTGATCCAGATCTGCATATGGAATATCTTCTTGGCAGTTGGTCTGCCTCTGAGGGATTTCAAGGTCCACTTCTGCCACCAGGACGTCTTCTTAGTAGAAAAATGCCGCTATGTTTACGAGATGTCTTCTTTGCAGTCTGCAAGCCTCCAGAAGAGTACTTGATCCAGATCTGCCTATGGAATATCTTCTTGGCAGTCGGCCTGCCTCTGAGGGATTTCAAGGTCCACTTCTGCCCCCAGGACGTCTTCTTAGTAGTAAAATGCCGCTCTGTTTATGAGATGTCTTCTTGGCAGTCTGCAAGCCTCCAGAAGAGTACTTGATCCAGATCTGCCTATGGAATATCTTCTTGGCAGTAGGCCTGCCTCTGAGGGATTTCAAGGTCCACTTCTGCCACCAGGACGTCTTCTTAGTAGTAAAATGCCGCTCTGTTTATGAGATGTCTTCTTGGCAGTCGGCAAGCCTCCAGAAGAGTACTTGATCCAGATCTGCATATGGAATATCTTCTTGGCAGTCGGTCTGCGTCTGAAGTATTTCAAGGTCCACTTCTGCCACCAGGACGTCTTCTTAGTAGTAAAATGCCGCTCTGTTTATGAGATGTCTTCTTGGCAGTCGGCAAGCCTCCAGAAGAGTACTTGATCCAGATCTGCATATGGAATATCTTCTTGGCAGTAGGCCTGCCTCTGAGGGATTTCAAGGTCCACTTCTGCCACCAGGACGTCTTCTTAGTAGTAAAATGCCGCTCTGTTTATGAGATGTCTTCTTGGCAGTCGGCAAGCCTCTCAGAAGAGTACTTGATCCAGATCTGCATATGGAATATCTTCTTGGCAGTAGGCCTGCCTCTGAGGGATTTCAAGGTCCACTTCTACCCCCAGGACGTCTTCTTAGTAGTAAAATGCCGCTCTGTTTATGAGATGTCTTCTTGGCAGTCGGCAAGCCTCCAGAAGAGTACTTGATCCAGATCTGCCTATGGAATATCTTCTTGGCAGTAGGTCTGCCTCTGAGGGATTTCAAGGTCCACTTCTGCCACCAGGACGTCTTCTTAGTAGTAAAATGCCGCTCTGTTTATGAGAT